TGTATAGTAAGTTGTTGAAGGTCCGGCAAGCCCAAGGGCACAGCGGTGTAGGAATAATTAATAACATATATTAGCATGTTAGACAACTTATTTCATGTTTGTTCCTCACGTCTTTATATTCTTTCTTTTGGCAATCGTCGGTCAGATCTCGCGTTCAGTTCTCAGACCAGACTTGGACGTTGAAGGCTGCTGTGATAAATTACCAGCTTTGAAGACTGAGAAACACGTGCGGTACCCCACAGCGCCAGTGCCAGTGCTCCGTCGCTCACCTTCCGCCAATCGCTCAGAGACGATGGTGCTAAAGGAACGACACCCAGCAATCATCAGTCCCTAACCCTCGGGCCCTCTCCCAAAAGATTATTTAGGCCCAGGCTTGATGACAACACACCCCTGCACCAGCAACTCGTCGCCCGGACCCTGAAACACAAAGTCGGACCCCTATTTCGAGAGCAAAGCGCCCAATACGCCGCATCGCAAAGCGTGTACAACGCACGAAACACGGAATACGGACACTCATTACTTATATCTACTGCAACATCGGGACTCCAAGTCGTTCCTCTGCAAACAGGCTCCGCTCCGGGCCCACCCCATCACCCTGGCTCTGCTCGGCCAAGTGAAAACCCCTCAGTCGAACAGTCACGGTCGAGACCCCTTCCCGCGGCATTCGACAACGACCAACACCAGAGAACGTCGGGCAAAGCATCGCGGGCTTCGTTGGATTAGGCCTTTCCGATCACCGTTGCTTCGTCGCACCAAGTTTGCCGAACCGAAATGAGCGTAGAGGCGAACGAGCTTCTCGATGCCTTCAAGGCCGCCGCTCTGTCGGTAACGAAGCTGTATAAGACTTCAGCTCAGGCCCAGGCCAAGTCGCGAGCAGACGGGTACCAGGACTGCTTAGAAGACTTGCTCTCCTTCCTGGACAGCGTGGGCTCGCAGACCGACGCGGGCCTCCAAAGAATCCGGAAATGGGCGACGGACCGGTTAGAGGGGCGAGACGCCACATCCCCACCAATTGAGAGTGACGACGAAGCAGAAAGATCCGATGCTCAAGTTTCTTCACCACGACTGCAACGTGCCGTCCCCGCCTCGGTGCAACGGCTAAGGGACATTGTGGAAGAAGAAGCGTCCGCGAGAGAATCATCAGCACCTCCCATCCTCACCACGACCGTACCGGCTCCACCTAGTCCCGTGGTGGAGGAAGTGGAGATCGCCGTCCCCTCCCAAGATGCCTTCAACTTCCAAGCATCCTATCCTTATCCCCACGACGAAGCGTTGCGGCTTGCCAACCTCAACCTATCCGACTCTCAAACAATCAGCGCTTCCAACACCCGGGCGACGCCACGGAATGGTAGGAACCGGAATGGGCGGGCAGGAGGGAGGACTTCGCTGGGGAGAGGGGCCGGGCAGAAACGAAAGGTCAACCTAGCCGAGATTTTCGACCTCGGCAGTTTGGAACACGGGAACGGCAAGGACATGTTTGGCGGAGGCAAGCGTAGCCGCTTTGCATGACGGGATGCCGACTTTTGAGCCACACATCGACATGGGATGCCGTCCATCGACGGGATCATGGGGTAGTGCTTTCTTTACGAGAGGAATGGGAAGCTTTTTCTTCTGCATTGTGTCGCATTTTTTTTTGGAGCGCATGGGGCAAGGTACGGACACGGATTCAACGACCTTTTGGGATCTGAAGGGGGAATCATGGGAAGTAAGTAAGCGACGGTATTTACCTAGATGGAGCATATTGGGGCGTTCTGCTTGATACCACCCAAGACGACATGATATCTCTCTTTTGTATGTACGCTTGCTCGCATGGGGTCGCCGTGCCCCTGGCGTAGTCTTTGACACTATTCAGCTATTGCAACGTCTCCAGAAGAGGGCAAACCACTCAGCAAACTGTGCCGGCTTGTATGGTTCTCTTCTCTTCAAATTTCGTTTTCAAGTGCTTTAGTAGTCACAAGATCATTCAACTCAGATTCAGCATTTCATTGGCCGGATTGAAATCCGTTCCTTGCTTGGGACGCTTGACTACCTGAGAAAGCGGGCACAGAGCCTCAAGCTGCCGTTAGGCACCGCCATCCTCAACACCACATTCCACGCCAACACACTTGCTCGTTCCTCGTCATCAATATTGTACTCTGACATGGCAATAAGCCCGCAATAAGGAGGGGACAGTTTAGGACCCAACCTGCATCTCCCTCAGGCAGAAAACATACCTAGGACCCGTAAAGAGGAAAAACTCCGTCTGGATACGCAAAGCTCCCGTACTCAGTCGAACAACCTTCTCATAGCTTCAGTCCATTACAAATGCCCTCCTCCACCTCCTCCGTCCACCGTCCCTCTTCGAGCCGACCCGACTCCGACCCAGCAGCAGCACCCCCGACGAGGTCTACTACCAGTACCTACGATCGCCGACGCCACCAAACCAAAGCGCTCCTTTCGTCCTGGGCGAAGCACTACTTTTTATTGGGCCTAGTCTCCCTTGACGTGACCGCCATCTTGATCGACCTGCTCATTGAGCTGGTGGCGTGCAACCTTGGCAGCAAGGACGAAGCCTGGTGGACTGGGCCAAGGGGGCGCTGCATCCGCTTGCGCTGCTGTTCAGTACGCTATTTGTGGTTGAATTGGGGGTGACGGTGTGGGTTTTGAGCTGGCGGTAAGTTGCCTTGGGCTTTCAAGTTTGATGTATCTACCGTAGGCAGATGGCTCTCAGCTGTCAAGAAGACTGAAATGCATGTGTGTCCTAGGTATTTTCATGATTTGTTTCATTGTTTTGATGGGGCTGTCATCACCGTTAGCTTCGTTGTGGATGTGGTGACGAGGGAGGGGTATTGTCGAGGAGATCGCGTCGATTGTGATTGTGTTGCGGCTGTGGCGGTTGGTCAAGACCATCGAGGGCCCAGCGCGGGGCTGATGAGAGGATGGAGGAGATCAAGGCGAGGGTTGTAGAATTTGAGCGTGAGAATGCCGATCTGAAGGCCCCGATTGAAGAGGTCAGGTGAACGCATTGTGAAGGTTATCACATTGAACCAGGATATCGAGGTATGCCCGCCATGGATAGACCCCTTCACTTCATCCCCCCCCAGGCAACTGATACTGTAGCTTTGACTTGCTGTGAGTTCGTGTCGGCATCTAGCAGTGCCCCGTGGCCATGTCACAGACAGCGGTCCCAGCATCTCTGTCCTAGCTGATGTGCAGTCTGCCGACGATGATCCGTGAGCATCTCACCGAGCTTCCCTAAATGCAGGCGAACGACTTGTGTCGACTTCTAGGCAGGTAAGCCGAAGAACTCGTGTATGCAATGCTGGCCCACATCTGCATTCTGAGAGATCCGAGTCCTTGACGATATCAGAACACAAAAGATGCAGGTCGAAGACTCGAAACTGAAATGGCAGGCTCGGGAGGAGCTTGGCAAGGAAGCTTGCATTTGCGGGTTCCCCGGTCAGCGGCCCGTGGCATGTCGGCCAGATTTGGCCTGGGCCTGGCGAATCAGGGGGCGGGATGTGGGCCAAACTGCAGCCGTCCAGTCTTGGACAAAGAAACACGCGAGACCCGCATCCCAAGTTTCTTTTGACACAAATTACCCGATGAAGCCATCGTCACATTGGCCCCCAGCTGAGTTCAATCACAATACCACAGAGTTGTTAACTAGACTACTTCGTACTTCTCACAGAGACAACATGACTGGCAGGGTGCAATTGAAGGGCTCGACGGGCAAGCCATCAACCATGCTGTGATGGCGAAGTCCGAGCGAGCCAGGGACCAGGGTGGACAAGGAAGTGGGCCGCGGCGAGATCTGGAAGATCGGGAGACATTGGCATTGGATGCAGGCGACGCCATGCCCATGTTGGTCGGCTAGCGTGCCTTTAATCTCCCCCATCGTCCATTCTTGAAGACCTCAGTGCCCCCTTTCCCTCGCTCTATTCACCTCAGACATTCGCTCCTGTCGTTGCTGTAGCTGTCGTCGTTGCCGTGTGAGACTCCCCTCATTATTTCTGTGGTTTGTTGACTTTCGCCATTGTATATTAACATTCCCTTCTGGCAAAAGGAGGTAACCTGTTCACTCGCTTCAACTCCACGCTCGTTATCTCAGCAACGTATTGTTTCGAGGAATCCATCCCGTGCACGAAATACAAGATGAAGGCCATTCTGCTCCCGCTCGCTGTCCTGGCGTCGTGCGCCATGGCCCAGACGACGACTGGCTGCGCCGCCAATTACATCGTCGAGGCCTGCCTCAGCTCCGAGAACGCCAAGCTCAATTCCTGCGGAAGAGAGGAGTGGGAGTGCTTGTGCCAGCAGTGGAAGAACATCATCACGTACGGAGCCATCAGCCCCAATAGTCTCAGACGGAACCCTACGCTAACATGGCCTACCCTGGCATCAGCTGCTACAACAACTGCCCCAACGACCCCCGGCAGCGTGAGTCAACCCCTTTCCCGTTCTTCTCCCCTGCTCTTTCCCGTACTGACGCCTTTTCCCAGACGAGAGCGCCGGCCAGCGCGACATCTTCTGCGGTTACGCCAGCCAGTACTCCTCGAGCACGACGAAGGCGTCCCAGTTGGCGACGGCGTCGACAACGGCGGCCGCGGAGAGCACGCAGGACACCGAGCAAAACTCGGCGACGCGCACCGGCTCGCAGAGCGGCACCGCCACCAGCACCGGCAGCAATGCCGCCAACACCAACAGCGCCGCCTACCTCGCCCTTAACGCAGGCGGTGTCCTGGCCGCTGTTGCCGGCGTCGTTGCCGTTGTGCTTTAAAGCGAAAACACGTGCTCTGGACGGGAGGGACGTGGTGGAGTTTGTGTGGGGAAGAGATGCGGACGGGGAACGCGTCTCGACAACTGCCGAGTTGTAGGGCAGGTTTTCTTCGGTCGGGGTTGGGGTGTTCCGTCAAGAGTCTATTGACCTACGAAACAGCCTTTCCCCTTGTCTCGCTTGTCGGAAGGCGAGGAAACGCGTCGGAGAAGGGAGGAGGCGGATCCCAGCCCCATCCGTGATTGTTTTGAACTAATTCTCAAACATGGGAGCCTAAACCAGTTAATCAGTAATCGGATGGATTGGTATTGTTGTCTGCCAGCTCTCTCACACTCCCCAGACGCCTGAACAGTTCATTTATCAATGTAGGGAGCCAGGGCAAGGCTTGAAAGATGCTGTCCAAAGCCTCACTCGACAGCCACGCGAACTGACTGGAAAGTTTGACTATGACTTTTGTGTGCTAGATACCTTACATATCATATAGATCCAACCGCCCTCTCACGCCGATTCATCACCCTTCAAAGGCGTATACCAACTCTTCCCCTCCCCCTCGACACCACCCATCTGCCTCGGTCCGGCATCCCGTCCCTGGCTACCCATGGCCGCCTTCAGGTCCCGCGTCGCCACCCGTGTCGGATCGTCCATAGTACCCGGCTCCGGCAGCGGCCCGCCCTCGGTGCCGCTGCCCTCAAACCCGCCCTCGGTCAGGTTCTTGCCGTGGGGGCCCGCCGGGTCCCGATAGCGCTGGTTGGGCACGTAGCTGGGCGCCGCCTGGCCCTGCGGTTCTTGGATCGCGCCCGATGAGGATGCGCCGGGCATTGTTTCGAATGTGGTCGCGCCGAGGACGCGGCCCTCTGGGTTACCGCCGCCGCGGGGGTCGGAAGACCCCTGCGGCGGCTGCTGCTGCTGGTCCTGTTGCGGCTGTTGCGTACCGGTGCCGCGCGATGTCTGCTGGCTGTCGACGATCCCCGAGGTCGTCTTGTTGGCGGCGGTGCTGCCTTGGCCGGTACCGGCGCGGGACTCGGACGACGACTGCTGGGATCGCTTCTGGCCCTGCTCCATGCCCGAGTTGGACGCAAATGCTCCGCCCCGTGCGGCGGATTCGGCTGCGAGCGACTCCTGGGCCACGTTGCCAGGGCCTTCCTGGTAAACGGGTCTGTCGCCCGTGGTCACCTATGGCGAAACGTGTCAGCTGTTTGATGTTGCAATGTGTGGATACGGAAAAGGGAGGTGATGCGGTACCTTCATGCCTGCGCTAGGAGCTTTGTGAGACATGGTTGAGGGATGAGAAATCTGTTTAATGTTTTGAGGTCTGTTTGCACACTTCGTGGCACTAGAGTATCGTGGCTTTGACTACGCAAGGGCTACGGTCGGGCGGCATGAGGTTGAGTGCTCTGACTCTCAAATAGGGGCTGGGCCTCACTCAATGACAAGAATGACATCAGCGCGTGATGTCATGGCGACGCTGCTGTGCATTGCTCTTCCTGACAATCAACTCACTCACGGAAGTTCAGAGAACAGGTAATAAGACGATCACTGAGCGATCGATGACTTCATGTCGGTTGCAGCTGGGGCCCGTTGTCTACGGTACAGAGGTACCTCCAGCTCGTGGGGCAACCTTTTAAACAACCACCTCTATGATGCTGAGCAATAACACGTGGAATCAAAGCAGAATAGTACCCTTTGGAAGCTTTGTGGAAGGAAACAAGCCAGTTTGGTAACAATATATAAATGGTGCCTTAAAAGGGCGCAACAAACCGCCAGTGGAAAAGCCCATCTCGACAAAACGCTGTAGGGTACCTTAAATAATCTTTGACTTCACAAGGTGAATACACCAATTTCACGCCGGGGCGCCATCACCGTAAATCGAACCATGCCCCGTTTCTTTCGAATACAAAAGACGCCATTCATGCAGAGTCCCGAGACGGCAGCTCGATGAAGGCCTCTCCCCCATGCTCCTTCGGATAACCTCTAAGCTTCAAAGCTGCAAGAACAAACTCTGTCCGGCAAAGCCAACTAAAGACCCCTTCGACCACCTGTACTCATCAGCGTGATCTTCTGCTTCTTTTTCTTCTTGCCGCCGTTTCCTCCTCCTCCAGACGCTCCAACACCAGCCCCGGCGGCTGCGCTGCTCGGAGCACCGTCGGATTCGACGCCCAACGCCTCAAGCTGCGCAGCAATGTCCGCAGCACCCAGCGTCTCGAGAACATCAGTATCCTTCAACCACCCATCATCGACCTGATGGCGGGGTGTTGCGAAAATCTCCTCGCGCGGACCTGCAATTAAGGGTGTTCCCCAAACAGTCCTCCGGCCCGTCGGACTGGTGCTCATATTCGCGAGCGACGAGAAACCCGGTCTAGGGTTTGGCGGCGTCGTGCCGCCGGCGCCAAGCGGAAGGAAATCGTTCATATCTACCGGTGGCTCATTGACGCCTACGCCAGAGGAACTGCCAAACCGCACCGTCACCCCTTCGTCAGTGGCGCCGCCGTCGAGATTCCTCCTCGCGTCGCGAATCGCGGCTGCCTCGAGTCGTTCCGCCTGCAACCTCTCGCGCTCCTCCTGCGTTGCCTTCTCCCGGTTGCGCCTGCGACGGCGCTCAATCTCGTCCGAGAAGGTGGCCAAGATCTCCGGGGGGACGATATCCGTCCAATCGCACTCCAGGAAGCTGATCAGGCAACCTCGAGGTAGATGGCCGAGATATTTGGCCCGTTTCCGCAAGGCCTCGTCAACCACATGGCCGGTCGTGATGTGTTCCACCCTCGGCAGGAGGGTGGAAGGGAAGGCCGAAAACGAACCGTACTTGGTCTTGAGAATCCGGATATCCAGCGGTGAGAGGTACAGATGGGGCGGGGAGGTGTAGAAGTAGAAGTCTTGCTCGACTTGCTTCGTCTGGCTCGGTCCCGGGGTCGCGGTGGTAAGGGCAGGTACCGGTTCCGTCTCGCCAGACTCGGCCAGCTTCTCCTTGGCCGTCCTGATGACCCTGATCGCCTTCTGTGTCCACTCGTTGTCCTCGTGATAGAGGAGCTCGTCCTCCTTCTCCTGTCTCAGTAGGTCTTCGATCTCGCGGTCAAACTGCTCTACCATGTAGTCGCTGGTGCCTCGCATGATCCTGGCATAGTCCAGGACATTGGCCGCAAAATGCCATGGAATATCCTTGCCCGACTGTAACACGTCGGCGGCGCCTTCCTTTGGCAACGCCAGCGTGCTTCGGCCACTCCGCATCATGAGACGAAGAATGACGTCGTCCCCCTTGCGGGGCAGCGGGCACTCCTGGCCGGCATAGAACCTCACAGGCCGCACATCAGACAAGTAGATGGCGTCCTCGCAAATCGGGCACTTCCTCCACCGACTCTGCTTCTTGCCCGGCTCCTCACTATTGCTGGTGTTCATGAAGCGCATCAGGCAGGGCAGGCAAAATATGTGCCCGCACTTAGCCATGCGTGGCGAGATCGGGTCGGAGAGGCAGATGGGGCAGGACGCCTGCTGCGACTCGGCCGAGGCGATGACCTGCAGGACATCGCCCCAGTCAAGATGCTGGTCGGCGTCGGCGGCTTGGGCCGTGTAATTGCCGTTGGGGGCGACGACGAAGCGGTAGTTCGCATGGATGTAGCGAGCCTTGTCGGCGGCATGGTAACCTGAGCCTACGCCCCAGGAAGGGTTGCGTCGGTAGGAGCGGGAGTAGGATGTGTGGTGACTATCGTGAGGGCGTGGGGGCAAGGCGTAACTCATCAAGTGCGTGATGGAAGTCTGGCCACGCCGGCTCGACGCATTCCGCAGAGCACGCATCTCGGCCAATGCGTCCTCGTCGTCAAGGTGCCTCATGTCTCCCGGCGTTCCAGCTCGCCGCTGGTTCCGGTGTTGCTTTTTCGAGCCCTGACCTTTCCTCGGGGCAGCCTGAGGGTGCAGCGGACTCTGCGACGGACGCCGATTAGTGTCGAAGCTTGTATTGGAAGTCGCAGGAGCCGATGGCGAGTGGCTCGCTGCCGCTGGTGCCGATGGCGCCTTGCTCGGAGCGGATGGCGTCGCGCTCATGTTGGAGAGGTAAGTTTAGTCGAGGGAACTGCGACAGAGCTCTGGCAGGTACCGTCCACGGTAGCCTGCGTGCAGGTCTTGACGAATAGTGGTGTATGTATGACCGTCCGTTGCGAGCTCGCTGCCGATGGGTTGACACGACGGGGGCGACCGGAGTGGTAGGTAGTGGGTCTACCCCTTCCGGACCTCTGCGAAAGCACTTCGCTAACGGGTCAATGGCTTGCGAATTGGTCGTCGAAATGGCCAAATGTCCTTCCCATAATCAAACAGATAATCTTGCACTTTCGGCAGTACCGTTATGTTTGGGCATAGTTCGTCTTCGATGGCGACGGCAAATGGAGTCGGAGGGGCCCAGTCTGGACCCCACGGGTGTTGACGGAAGGAGGAAGAGTCACGACCGATCCGCGGGGCAAAGTCCATGATTTGAGCCATCGGCGGAGTGGCTCCCGAGCCCCGGCGAGCACTGTGTCAGGTGACTTTTATGAGTGAGTGTGTCATTGGGGTGATGGCTTCCAGCGACACCCAGTAACACACCAAGTTAGGCCCTCCAGTTGATCTTGGCCATCCGTACCACATATTGATGGGAACGGTGCATTCCAATTTCAATCTGCAGTCTTTCAAGTCCACTTGCTCGACCTAAACGACCATTAGAAGACATGGCGCTCCAGTTCCTACTAGTCATTGTGCGCAACACAACGTGTCCGTGGGGTGGCCTTTAAGGTAGGGTGCCCAATGCAAGACGTCAGCGCATGGCTGGAACAAGCGAAATCACAGATCCCTTCACAACAAGCAGCTTTGAACACCAGCATACCCATTTACTAGGCTGAATCCCAATATACCGATCCTCAAGCCAAACAAAAAACATTAACACTAGACAAAAAGCCACCCCCCGAACTGAAAACAAGCCATGGTAATGGGGCTGGATATCGAGATTACTCGAGCCTCCCACACAGTGACACAAAACCAAGCTTCCGACTTCCCGCCAATTTCCCAACAAAACTTCCATCGCCTTTGGTATGACCAACTCGAGTACTAGACAATCACCGTGAAGACAAGGCCCTCCTAATCACAAAAAAACATCATTACCCATCGTCACACTGCCATCTTGGAACAACCCTGCCACACAGCCAACAAAGATGACCCGAGAGCAGATATGATACAAGACGGATGCCCGGTGAAAAGACGGGGAATAGCGAGCGAAGGGAAAAGGGAGGATGGGTTGCCGCGCAAGGCTACTTCAGCTTCTCCTTCAGTTTGTTGAAGAAGCCGCTGATCCTATGCTTCTTCTTCTTGTCCGACGTAGCCTTGCTCGAGCTGGCGCCGGCGGTGGTGTTGGTGGTGCCGTTGGGTGCAGCGTGTTTGGCCGCCGCCTCAACCGGCGCAGCCTGCTCGGCTGTCGCGGCTTGTTCAACCGCAGGTCTCACAGCCTCAATCTCCGTAGGCGCAGGCACAGCTGTGGCCGGTTTAGTAGGCTTTGTCTCTTCAGTCGCCTTGGGAGTCTCTGTGCTCGGAGCCACATCGACGGCCTTCACTTCCTCGGTGGGCTTTGGTGGCTCAGCAGCCAAGGCGGTCACCGCGGGCGCACTGTCCTCGGTGGGCTTGGCTTCTTCAACAGGCTTTGGCGTTTCCGAGGGCTTGGCCTCGTCGACAGCCTTGACGGCCTCAATAGGCTGAGGGGGTTCTACAGCCAGAACCGTGCCCTCATCAGAAGGTTTCGGCTTGGTCTCGGCTTGGGGGGCCTCGGCAGGCTCGACTTTAGGGAGGGTCTCGATAGCCTCCATATTTGTCACAGCCGCAAGCTTGTTCTCCTCGGCAGGTCTGCTCTCCCCGGTAGGCTTGGTCTCCTCCGCTGCTTTCACCTTTTCGGTGGCCTCCGCCGACGATCCACCGACCGCCTCGGCCGGCTTCACCTTCTCAAGCAGCTCGGCTTCGTACCCTTTCTTTTCTTCCACAGCAGCACTGTTAACAGCAGCCTCCGGGCTCGCGCCCGCCTCCCGCATGGACTCCTTAACCTCGGCCGGAACTTCCGGAGACACGCTGTCAATGGCAGCCTTCTGCTTTTCCTGGACCACAGTCTCGGCCTCGTGGGTGGCGCCCGGCAAGACTCCCTTGACAGCATTGGACAGGCTGTTGGCGGCGTCGGTTGCGACGGTTGTCACCACGGACGCAATGTTAGCAGCAGCATCGCTCGCCTGGGCCGCAACCCCAGCGGCGGCGCCACCGGCCTTGGTCGCAGCACCAGCCGCAACGGGACCAGCGGTCTCGGCCGCGGTTATCGCCGCACCGAGCGCCACTTCGCCGGCAGAGGTCGCCGCGCCCAACGCCGCTGCGCCGGCCGTGCTCGTAGCAGCGAGCACCGTCTCAACCCCTGTCTTGTCCGTCTCGGACTTCTCTGTCCCCTTGCCAGCGGTGCCCTCCGACGTCGACGGAGCTTCGGGAACCTTTGCCAGGAGCTCATCTTCAACGGCCGCCTTCTCCTTCACTTCCTCACTATTGGCGCTTGCCTCCGGTTCAACCTCTGCCTGCTCTTGACTCTTTTTGACGATGTCAGGAACCTTGGGCTCCAGGGGGACCTCGCCGGCCAGATTGGCCGTGGTTGATTCAGGAGCGACGGTGTTGATGTTGACGTCGTTGGCTCCCGTGATGGGCAAGCTCGACTCGGGAATCATGTTGCCTGTAACGTAGGGAAGAGTGGTCTCAACGCCCGGGATGCGATCGCTCTTCTCGTACGATTCCTTGTCAAGAGTGACGTGGCTGTCCACGGCGCCGGCTGAGAAATCCTTGGGAACTTGCTCGCCAGGCTGGAGTTTGATGGGATTTACGGCACCATCGGCGGCTGGGAGCGGGTCGACCTTCACCTCTTTGTTGAGGTCGGCGGCCGGCGTTTCAGGAAAGCTGCCTGGGAGGCTGTCGACTTTCTCCTCGTTGCCGCCCTTCTCCTCTTCTTCGGTCTCGGGTGCCGGCGACTGGGGAAAGTCACCTGGGGTCGAGGCCAATGCCTGTTTGTCTTCCAGCGGAACAGCGGCGGCCAATTGGGCTGTTGTAGAGTCGGGGGCCGCCGAGTTGAGTGTGGCAGCAGCACCTGAGCTCCCGCCCTCTGTGACCTCGGGCTTGTCCTTCTGTTGTGCTTCCTTCTTGCTCTCCAGAGGCACAGCGCCAGCCAATTGAACCGAGGTGGAATCGGGCACGAGGTTGTTGATGGCCGCAGCCTGGGAAGCTTCCTCGACCTTGTCCATTTGTTCCGGTAGCAGGATGTTGTTGACAATTCCTTGATCGTCTTTCTCTTGCGGCGCAGTAGTATCGAGTTCCCAGCGTCCGTCGACGACAAACTGTATGCGAATGGTGCGTCAGTAATCGAGTCTGATGCTGGTGCGATGGCATGAAACGGCCAATGTCAATGTTGTCATGCGCAAAAGAAGCGGGGACCATGCCAGCTTTGAAGGGGAGGGCCCGGGCGCGAAAAGAGGGGTGATGTCAAGCTTGTTGGAACAGAACCATGGCAGCATCCCCTGTCCCCGTTCTGGGTCACGGGCCAGATGGCTGTTTTCGCAGCGCCCTGCCCAGGGTCCCACACGGGTTGCCGCTAAAAGGAGATTTGCTCCTTCGCTTGTGATCGCCCACCATGTTCTGCTCACCCTTTCATGCCTGCGCCGGTCTTTCCGGTGCAGTTGGGTTGGAAGGCGCACAAGAGCAATGCGTCATGAAGCCCGCGCCCAGCATGCTAAAGACAGCAATGTACGCTGAGAACAGTATTTGAAACAAGACCAGGGCAGAGTCATCGTCGAGTCCTTTCCTGCGACGCGACGTTGTGCGGTGGTCTTGGCGGAGGATGTTGGCGGGGCGGGATGGGCGTCGCGGGGCTTCCAGGTCGACCCTCACCGAGCTCACCGCTGCTTCGGATTCATCGCGCCTTTTTGCGAGGCAGTCCTGGCGGGTTGATATAACGCCGGCCTGTCTCGAGGCAAACTCACGGTTCAAGAGGGGAATCTCGAAACGTGGTGCAAAATGAATCAGCTCACTGACCTTGTATACGATCTTGCCAGGAGAATCCGGGAACTCCAGTGTTCTTTCAAAACCCTGGCCAACCCGGTCCAGACGCGTGGTTTTCGCCCAGCTGTCGAAGGTCCCCGTCACGAAGACTTCGTCCGCTGGCTGGGGCCTGTGTTGAGCGCATTCAAGTACCAGTGTTAGCCAGCTTCCCACAGAAAAGATGCAATGAATTCGTCATGGAGCGGGGCCCAGAAGCGCTGCCCGGGGAGCAGCGACAGCCAGAAGCTCTGCCTGCCGGATGCAAGCTCCAGGTTCCTGGGACATGAATGATTTGGCGTGAAACTGACCACTTGAATGTGAAACTGCGCATGGCTGGTGGAAATAATCGATTGATATGCTATCGCGACGCTCGTGTGCTTGGACCGGGCAGGTGGTTTCGAGGTGGAGCTTCAAGGCAGTCACGATCTGAGAGCTTTGAGAGCTTTGGTGACTTCCTGGGACTCGGAGGTTTGAATTGCTTGGTCGGCCAAGAAGGCAAGGAAGAGCTGTCGGTCAGAGAATGTGTCGCACGGTCCAGTTGCTGATTGGCGAGCTGATTGAGAGCCGAACTCGGACCTGACGTCAGTCACCGAATGAGCATGGGAAGGGGGAAAGGTGAGGCTAAGGGCTCCAAATCAAAGGAATCGAAAACATTTATGTTATAAATGCTGAATGCGAACATATGACGGTAAAAGGAAGAGAATAGCTCAAGCTGGAATTGCTGCGAATAACTCGAAAGGCGGTGACTGGGGTTTTCTATCAACGTCTTGCTGCATGCAGCTATTTACAAAGCGCAGCGATTGCGCAAGCCAAGGCCAGATTTGCAGCAGGGCGAGTCAGCTTCAACCTTACATCGAGATAACGCGAAAAATTATACCGCACAGAGCAGTTGTGGGTGCTGATGCAGGGTCTTCGGAAAGAGGGGAAGCCTCGAGAAAACAAGCAAAAGAGTTGGCTATAAGGCCTTGCATAACAAGATCATGCGGCGTCGAGGGCAATGATCCCTTTTGTATCCACGTACTTGGAGTCTTCGACGACTGCCAGCCGGAGCTATCATACAAGTCAACCCTGGTTTGTTTATTAGCGCGGAACTCAAATAGTTCAGGTGTTACACATCGTCTTCTTTCACTTTGACATAGTTGACTTGTATCTTTTTCTTTGTTTCTTCATACATTCCGTTAACTTCTTCTCATATCTCGAGGTAGTACGAACAAACCAGGCCTAGACTGTAGCTGTTGTTCAATGTTCGCGGCAATTCCCTTGAGGTGTTGACCAACTAGAGTAGACAGCGGAGCGCCGGGTATGACCGAAGTATTGCTCCTCCGGATGGTCGACTGTCGCCGAGGTCTGGCGAACTGGAAGGTAAAGGTGTCGTGTTTCAACCTGCGGCATTCGCACCGGGTACCGATTGTCGGGAGCGGCGTCGTTGACCGGACCTCTGGAAAAAATCGGATCCATCATCGCTGCCAGCCCCGGGCTTCTTCGTCTGGTGCTGCCAGACGGTGCCGTGACGTCTGGTCGAGGTGGCGGAAATGGCTCGTGATGCGATCATGACATTGATGGTTTTCCACGATACCGATCCGGAAGGAAATCAATCACAGGTAAGCGGTATATGAGTTGAAAGAGTCAGACCCGAACGTAATGCCGACTCAGTCCCAGGAGGATGAAATACAAGCAAGAAATTCAAGGTATCCAAAGCAGGCCTCGACGTCTTTTAGGGTCAGAGAGCAAAGTGTAGTGTAACATGAGTCCATTTAGACCTGGGAGGTTTCAGTGAACCTAGGGGCTATACCTACCAACCAAACTGTTCACAATGCAGCTCCACAGCCGGACCATCGCCGACAATCAGTCTCGCCGTCGTATCCTGGACAACCCGCATCAGCCCGTCGGGCCCGCACGCAGCAACCAGCACGCGCCCATTCCGCGGTGTGCTCCCAACGGCGTCGCGGATGAGCGATGCCGCATCCGGCCTTCCCGCCATGACCGCGTACTCGAAAAAGGCGTGTGCCGTCCCGTGGGCAGCAGTAGCGGCGATGGTGGTGCTGGTCGCGTCCTTCTTCTCAAGCGCTGCGCCATGCACTCGCTCAACCCGCGTCTCGAGGGCGCTGCACTCCAGCTCCTTCTCGACATCACCCCGGGAAAGACACGGCCAACGGAGCGAGGATGCGGGGATGTGGGTGCCGCCGTTTTTCTCTGGGTCTGACACGGCCGGCGATAGGGGAGGTGAATCGGTGCCCTCGGAGGATGAATCCGAACCGACAGCGGGCCCGCGGTGCCCGCTCCGGTTAAGCAGATCCGATTCCGATAATGAGGTCCGTGTGACGTAGAGGGAGACATTGACTCTGGGTGAGTGCGGGTGCGCCCGCAGGAGGTCCAGCTGTTCTCTGAACCAGGAGAGGTTTTCTGTTACCCACCAAAACTCGTCAGTACCGCCCGGATACACGACGCGTGTAGCGATGTGGGTAGTATGTGGGTGGGGACTCACCATGGTTCTTGACGGCCCAGATAAACACAATGTCCTTTGGCGAGTCTTGGTCCATTCTCTCGAGGACGTTAACCGCCAGCCCAAACGTGAATGTAGCACCTCCGCCCCCGGCGATGAGCACGATCTTGTCGAAATCCATTGGATCAGGAAACGTGCCATACGGGCCGTCGATGGACGCCCTCACCGTCGCGCCCGGATGAGCGGCCGCGTACTTGTGGAGGTCGCTCGTGAATCCGTTGCGTGCCTTGACCGTGAACTCGACGGGCGAGCTCCTGTGAATGGTAAAAGGATGCGTCTCGAACTGGCGGATGGCGGGAATCCAGACGAAGCAGTGCTTCCCCGGTTCGGCCCTTGCTGGTACCTTCTTCATGACGACCTTGGTGCCCCCTTCGGGAAGGGGGTGCAGTGTCGCCTCGTTGTTGGCGCTGTAATACAAGATCCTGCCGGCCCTAATGACCCGGTCGCTGAACCACGTCGACGCGGCAATGAGGGTGACTAGGAGCGTTTTGTTTGCGAAAACGGGTTGGTGGAAGCCGACCGCCACGACGGCCACGACCCAAGAGGATATGTGCGTGACGTAGAACAGTTCGTATCGGAGACGGCGAAGGAACACGGCAGAGAAGATAACGCTTAAAAAGGCGAAACCCGCCACGATGGCAGCAATCTGACCCCTGTCGGCGTAAATGGCGAGGAGACGTCCTTGGCTGTTGAAGAAGGCTGTGTACAAGGCGGCGTGGGTAACCATGGCACCAAACACGGTATAGCCGGCGATCCGGTGCAGACAGTTGAGCCTCTCGTACGAATAGGCCGTTAGAAAGGCCAGGGGGGTGTTCTTGAGGGCCAAAAACACGACCAAGACCAGGTTGACTAGCGATGCCCTGTGCGTCAACGCGCATGAGTACGTGCTCGATGGCAGGATATGGGGGAACCGGCAAGAAGATGGCGAACGTACCAGCCGAACCTATGAGCTAGACTGCCCAGAGATTTGGTATCGACATTGGTGAATGTGATGGCCGCATTGATGGCGACGTAGGTTGTGACGACAATGGCATGCCCAGCGGACTTGAACCCCGTGATCTTCCGGATCAGTAAGTTCCTTAGGAGTCTGGATTGGTCAGCCGGTGTTCCTCGAGCAAGTCCAGCAAGGAGTATGCCCTACCTCGAGCACGCAACGAATGGAAGTTCCAGTACTCCAGCGGTCCGGTTTGACCCTTCCGCCTTTGCCCACAGCCAGCGAGTCCAATGTAGGACGACGAAAAGCGCCATCAGACCGCAGATTCCGGCGGCATAGTACTCCATCATACGCTCCGTCACCGCCTGTCTCTGGGCGAAGTAGGCCGCCATGGCAGGGTTGCTGTGTCCATGGCTTCCGGTGTCTCCCGCACCAGTACTTCCTCCATGCCCACCGCCGCTCGAGGGGTTGCCGGACGTCACCGTCATTTGGTGAGACTAGGTCGGAGAAGAAGAGTATGCTCTCGTCGTCCGTCAGGAAGTTGAAAAGATAAAAGCCAAGGAAACTCTCCTGACGCGAGTTCAAGGGCAGTGAGCCAGTTTATACGGAACAGGATCTTGCGCTGGAGCGGAACCACATACCGAACACTCACGACTAGCCGTTGAGAACCAAGACGGTCTAGATCGCATATCATGTGGCAGTCCCTTCGTCCAATACCTGGAATTTACCTGGCCTTCCAGCAACGCCATCTTGGCCCACGGCAAGTTCTGTGCCGGGTCTCTGAAATAGAATAGGCCGAGTGGGGCGTGGTCCTTGACTCATATCCGTGGACACGCACAGGTGAGAGCCATAGCAGAGAAAGTATGGCTCCCAGAATGAGATCTTGATTGCTTCAGTGTCACATGGGTGAAGCTCGGTGTCTAGGGGTCGTGACGGTTACGGCACTTGAGACTCCTCCGTAGCCACGACGGCGATGGCATGGATGGCAAGTTCCGGCAGCCGACGCAAGGGCCTCCCCGAAGAATGCACGTTCCGGTAAGCGTTTGCCGTGTGCCTGTACAAGTGACAACCATTTTGGGGTTGTCAATACTATCAGCTTCCGATCTGGGATTTGGTCAGCTTGACAAAGCACCGAAACTGCTGCCTCGTTGCAACGAGGTCGCAGGAAGGCGGCCACCGTTGGATTTAGTTGCAGATACCGGTAGGCGGTTGGGATGTCTCGCAGGAAAGTAGGATGGTGCACTCTGGCTAAAACTGGGATAAAATGGGAACCGAAGAGTTTGGCGGTTGGATGCTACTGTACTCGGTACTGAACAAGCTAAACAAGCAACGTCCCAGACTCCCAAGGGTGCACCCCCTACGGTCACCCCAATCAAGCTTTTACCCCACAAATGCAAGCAATATCGATTATCGAGGCCAAACACGACAACAGGAATCTCCGCAGCAGACCAGGCAGGAGTTCTGATTATGCTGCAGCTTGCGGGGCACTTGATGACGCACGGCCCTCGCCACGTGAAGACATGTGCGGGACAGATAGGCGAAAGCGTAAGCGGATGACAGCTTGATCAAGGCCCCAGGCGGATAAGTAAAACGTGCGAACAACTAGGGAGACCGCATGAAGGATAGAAAGTAAGGGAAGTGAAGCCAACGACATATACCAGTCAAACCACCGATTTGCCGCGACGAGCTGGTTTGGACCAACAAGCATGACTTGATGAACCGCGACGATCATAAAACGGCATAACGCGTTAGCGCGGCAGATGGTTGCGGGAGTATCGTTCCTTGATATTACGACGAGCGATAACAGAAGTCTGATATATGGCGGCAGTAACAAAGCAGGCAAAAATGAAACCGGTCCAGGGATGTCATGCAGCATACAGTCCCTCATTCTTTTCGTACTATATGGGAAAAGGAAGAAGAACAGAACAGAAAAGAAAATCTATCTGATAGAGTCGACCAATACATCAAAAAGCTCACCGACCTGCTGCCTTCCCCGATCGTCACCGGTGAGGAAGGTTGTCGGCATACGAAAACCCCGGGGGCGTCCCCCAGGTGGACTTATCCGGTTCGAACATGTGCCCTCCTAGAAGGTCAAGCACTGCCCTGCAGCCCCGTAAGGAAGGGGCTGTTGGAAAGTATTATGCGAAAAATTGTTCATGTACTGGTGCTGCAAGGTGCTCTTAGTTTGTAGAGAAGTACGCGTTTGGATGACTTTGTACAGGACATGAATTCACAGTGCGTTGGATGCCGTCGGTTTATGCTCTTGACGTTGGGAAACTCCTCCGCGCCTTTCCCGAATGGGAAACCTCGCAGCGGGTGGTGCAGAGCCCTGCTGACGCAGATCCTCGAAGGACCTCCCACTTTGAGAGTCCCCAACATGTCCAGAACACATCGCAGATTAGTGGACAGAACCTTCAATCTCGGGCTTTCTTTCCTTGAACTTTTTTATTGGCTATCTCTACGAGTGAAAGTCCAGTCGGTTCTGTCGAATACTTTGGTGCATAGCATTTTCCCTCTCCAGCGTTTGACGACGATGGGACCTGAAACCTACAATGGCAGCCAAGCAACGTCAAGGTGCAACAAAACTTCCAGAGACGGCCGGTTGGTACCAATCATGGCAGCGCCGGGATGCCGCTTTTTGGACTGGTTCCGGAACACTCTCCGGTCCCTTCCTCCATTCCAAGGTTCGCTGAACTGCTGTCGCGGGACGGTTCACCGCTAGTGCGACCTTCCGCCGTGTTCATTCAGACCACGACCTCTTTTCTCACAGATTCGCACTACAATATCGCTTTGAGAAAGCGCACATGCCCCAGGAACGAAGGTGATGTGTAAGCCTCTTCTAAGCACACATAAATTTGAGTTTCACGTTCGCTAAATCCTGGAGGTTTCCTGTTGACCCACGCAGAGTCCACGTGCTACCTGCAAAGGAGGTGGGCTTATGCTCGCTTCCATCCTTCGGCCGGAAGTGCTCCAACTTCAACCGCTGTGCCGCATCACGCTACAGGCAGCACGGATCCTATCGCTCCTCGTTGGCCGCTGCCACTCCATGGTAACTATTTACTGAGACAAAGTCGTCGAGCGCACTCCTCTTGTTCTGATCTTGCGCATACGAGTGACGCGACACCTATCGGTTGCTGAGACGGAATCAACACTCGTCACCGCTTACTGATACTTCGACTCTCATGAGCTACCCTGCACTCAGCTGCTCTGCTACTTCCGCTCCGACGTTCGAGGTGTCCACGGCGAGATCGAGCAGCAGGAATAGCGAAAAGAACGGCCGCCAGAACAGCAAGCCCACTTACGAAATACCGGAGCAAGATGAACCGCGACCCAGCTTCATCCCAGCTCCGCCCACTGACAGCATGCTTTTCCCTTACCCCCAAACCGCCCTTTATAAACTAGGTCCGCATTCCACCAGTCACCAGGGGCTACTACTACTTGACCGTGATCAAGCGGGTAGGGCGTGGGCTGTGAGCTAAACACACCCCCCCCCCGCCCCCCGTCGGTCCGACTTGACTCTCCGGAACTTGCTGGTTCGATCCATGGCCGAACGCCGAACCGCCGCTTTATGAAGTAAAACTCCCATTGGGGGATTGGGGGGTTTTCGTAGCCACTGACCTCCGTAAGGGGCTCAGTGGTGAGCTTTTTGTGTTTGCTTTCTCTTGCTTCTTCTTTAAAGTATCGTTGCTAAACACCACCGAGGCGATAGCAGTTGATACTTGATAGTCGAGCAAAGCAGACAAATTTCTTGGCGACCGTCATGAGTGGACTCCTCTTCGATTGTTCTGAAGCATGTAGAGCGGCCTGGCTCCGGATTGGGAAAGATGATGTCGTCTCCGAAGAGGAAGGGTGAAACAGGGAAAAGCGAAAGATCGAATTGTTACCTCGGTCCAATCTGTTGAGACGCGGTAGCAGCTAAAGAGACGCTGGAAAGGTAGGCAGTGGGCTGGAATTGGGATGATCCAACGATCATTACCAGGTAAGGTCTGATGCCTACTTTCAAAGATAAAGCATAGCACACGACTCGAATGACTTGTACAGGTAGGCATGCCTTATGATTGTAACCAAAACAAATGCTAACGAATACCCCCAACCGAACAACGTATCACACATCAATGTCGTACCGTACCCTACGCCTCCTACGATCCTCGAACATCACTGGGCGGAATCACGCACTACCCCATCACCGCACCCGAGGCGAGAACACCAAGAAACACAACCGCAACTTCAAACACCATAAACTTGACCCATGTGCCAAAGATGAGAACGCTTCCTAGGCCGTTATACCCTCCATTCACGTACCCCCCGTACCCGTCCGCCAGCCGCTTGCTGTGCAGCATGGCCTCGGTAACAAGCCACACCAGCACAGCCATGGCGAACATGACACTCTTGATACCAAACAGACCACCACGTTGGTTGTGAGCAGGCTGGGGAGAATCCCATGCCCTCTTGCCATCCTTCAAGTTACCGTTTTCGGCATCCGTACATGCCTCGAAGCAGGCCTTGAGGTCCGAGAGCTCGGCCTTCACGGCGTCTAGCTCCGCCTCGAGCGAGGCAAGCCTCCCCTCAACAGCGTCTCTCTCCAGGCGTAGCAAGGTGAGGCCGCCCTGGGCTACGTCTCGAAGTTGGGCTTCAAGACGCTCGATCTCTTTGCGCAGGTCCTCCTCGCTCAGGCCCTCAAGTGAGCGCTCTCCTCGCTCGGGCTCGGACTTGCCGGAGGCGTCGTTGTCCTCCCATGGCGTCTTGCCGAGCGCCGCGGGCCCAGAATCGTTGAAGGGCTGAGCATGAGACGGGCCGCCCATGGTTGAGGGCGGCTGTTCGGGTTCGGCGCGGCTGCGGCCTGCAGGGTCGCGGAACAGATCGAATGATCCCGGTTCGTCTTTGGCCTCTTTCTGGTTGGTTGGGGAGTGGATTGTCGTTGTTGGCTTGTTGGCTTCGCTTGGGGCGCCGCGGCCTCGCCTCATGTCCTGGTAGTAGGAGATCATGGTGTCCCTTTCTCTATTGCTAAGAGACCGCCCGAGTACTGCCTCGGACCGTCGGATTTGATCCCGCATTATGATGTCCGTCATGGACTCGTTCGAATCGGGAGAGTCCTCCCCCATGAAGGGAGCAAAGCGGGCGCCGTCGGCGTCGCCCATGATGAAGACAGGGGGTGGTTGGGTTTGAGAGGTCATGGAGGAGGAGGAACCGTCGTCTTCTCGTCCAGTCCCTGGGGAACGAAGCGGCAGCGAGGCTCTTATGTTCTCGCCCGATGCATATGGCCGGCGGCGCTCGGATGGTGACTGATGAGTTGCGCTCAGCTCGGAGACGTTTGACGCAGCGGGTGACGGCTTCTGCGTTTGCCCTGTTTGTTTGTCTTCTTCAATCACCCTCCGTTTAGTTGGAATATTGGCCAAGGGGTCAAGCTGAGATTGTGTCGCAGCCTCCTGGCCTGCCTCACCCTCTTTCCTGTGAGCCGCTGTGTCTGTGGGTGAAGTCTTCACGCTCTTCTCGGCCTCTTTCTCAGGCTCCGTGGAGGCAATTGGGAATTGCTCCGTCTTGAGCGGTGTGCGTCGGGGCTGCCTCAGGGGCAAGTCCCCCGGTCCATCTTTGAAAAATCTCTCAATAACATGGCTGCTACCCGAAACACTGTCGACAAGTTTCGCTGACGTAGATTGTTGAATCTGCGTGTTTGAGCTTTGGTTGCTTTGCCGATGGTCCTGGACGCCAAGGGAGCTCCCAGCAGTAGAACCGACAGACGGTGTTGGAGATAAAGAAGCGCTTGGTCCTTGGCTGCTAAGCACATCTTGATCCTTTTCTCCCACAATCTTCCGCTTGGCTCGAGCGATCCTGGAGCGTTTTGGCATTATTACTTTCAGTTCGAACGCTTCAGACTTAGTATTTTTTAATAGTCAAGTAGTGAATGATGGTTGATCTTTGCAGTACTTCGGCGTGGACAATTCTAGGAGTTGTCAGGCTGATGAAGCTCTGTCTCACATCTTGGTCGTAGCTCAAGAACCCTATATAAGCTATCACCTAACAAAGCGAGATACCGTTGGACTCCTTCGTAAATATGTGCAACATCATCGAACTATTCAATGTAACCGTTTCAGGCATGGACGCTTCTAAATTGAGGCTGGGTTGGGGGAGGGGGGCCGGGGGGTGGGGGGCGACAGAGAACAAAGGAAGTGGCAAGGCCCGTTGGGTTGAGGCGGAGGCTTTCAGCAGGTGATGCTTGGGTAGATGATTCTTGTAGCAAGCACGCCGTTTCCAGCTTATGGAACTCCTCCAAGCAAGTCGACAGGCCTGAATTGATACCGTAGAGATGGCCGTACACACCTGCTCGGGATAATTTCTTTTGCGAACCCCTCTGGAAGTCCTTCACATAATTGAACGGGCAAACCACCGCAAATGAGTATCAACCACGCGTATCTGCATCATGGATTCCGATACAAAGAAGCAAAACGAGGCCTCAGCCAAGTCAAGTAAACGCCTATTGCGCCGTGCTCAAGTAGATATCCTAAACCCAAAAAGTCGAAAGTGTCGCCTCATTGACCACACTAGCAAGCCTGAAGCGCCCACTCCGGGTCCAAAACAAGACTCAAGACATTTGCTCATCCCCAGATAAAAACTCTTCATGGGCGAAAGCGAGTTCTGTACCATCACCACAACGCCTCACTATCCACCATCTGAACCCCGTCCTGACCAACCCACATCCGCCTCTTCCTCCCATGCTCCCCAGGCGTCGGCCCGGGTGTCATCCACAAGGCCGAGTCAAGCCCCGGGCTCTCTTGCGGGGCAAGAAACGGCGCCGCCTGCGTAGGCGACGCATGATCAAAGGGAGGTCGTTGATGAACGGGATTGTTCCTCGGCGAGATCAGCGGCGGCGATATGAGCGGCGGCGTCACAAGCGTAGGAGCGTAATGAGGCGACGGGTGTGCGGGCAGCCCTGGTGTCATCCCAGCCTTTGGCGTGAACCCCGGGCTGAATCGTGGCGATGTGGAAGAAGGGGACGGGAATGGCAGGGAGACGATGTGTTGATTGATGTGAGAGCGTCGATTGCGGCGGTGATGGCGTCGTAGGCGTAAGGGAAGCAGCGCGCCTGGTGGCCGATCTGAGGAGGAGGAGGCCACGGGGGACGTTGCTGCCCAGGCAACGCCAAACGACCGGCCGGCTGGGCAGACTGCTAGGAGAAGGGCTGCGATGAGGACGAGGGTATCGTCGAGGAGGAGAGAGGTGAGCTGTGAACGGGCGAAGCTGCTGGCCAAGCCTTCGGCGAAAATGGCTACCCGTACCGCTGTACGCGCCAAAAGGAGGAGCGCAACTATCTGAAGGCCTGACGGAACGTCAGTACACAGTGTTTTCGCTAATGGAGAAGGGCTGCTCAACATACAAACTATGAAATACTTGAAACGCCGCGAGAGATAGACGAGCGAGTGTGTGTCGTCAAGGATATAACGGCGATGCGAGAGTTTGTATCGAAAGTAGCGATATGTACCCAAGAAGGTCAGAAGGCTGACGGCTTGGAAGGCAAGGCCCGTGAGGAGAATATTGAGCCCTTGAGAGACCTAGAGAACCTGTCAGCAAAAGAGAGATATTACCTGCTGGATATGGAAATAGCGTACCTCGATAGCCGTGCTGGCAGTAGCAGCAAACCCGATCCCGACGGACTGAAACGCCAGCATAAAAATGTCGAGTATGAAGAAGAGTATCGTCAGGTACACAGGATCCGACACGAGCTGGAACTCCTGGCCATAGATGACCAAGACATGCGGAAGAACCTGGTTCACGGCAGATCCGACGAGCACGGCGCCCCAGTGCGTCCCAAGGAGGTGTACGGCCGAGTAAGCATGGCTTGTCGGATTTGCGACCAGAAAGACCCTGGCGACATGGCCGACGACTTCAACGAGAAGGGCCGCGAGCAGCAACGAAGCGTGCACTGGAGTCTTGTACCGAAGCCCTGCGTATACGACGGGAGGGATCAGGGCGGCGAAGGCAGCGAGCATGAAGGCGGTGCCTGCCGGTGCCGTCCCGTAGGGCAGCGAGCCCGTCGGGACAGGGCACAGCTCCCCTGAGCAGCCTCCGACGGCCAACATGGCGCCGAAAGAGTTGGAGACGCTCTTCCCGTCAGCGATGTTGGTGGGAATGGGCCGGCATCAGTCAGACAGAGACTGATGGCCTGCACAAAGGAGGGCGCGAGTGCAAGAGGTGCCATCGGCGCAGATGAGCGCGACTAGAGGGGACAGAGGAGGTGGTATATATGCTCACGGCTGGCGGTGCGGGACATGTTTGTCAAGCGGCGAGCCCGACAGTCCGGCACTTGATCTTCACGGCGCTTAACCTGCATGACGGGCTGCGGGACGGAACAGGGGGATGATCGAAGAAGGCAACGGCAGAGAAGGCCGACACTCAACGGCTCCGGCCCGGTCCCTCATCGGCCAGATTCATACGTGCGGGAGAAATCCTTTTCCGACGGGAACAGAGCATCTGCTTCATTGCCATCATGGATGAAGGTATTCTGCCTACAAGGTAGGCAGAATATGTTGCTTCTGTCCGCCGGCCAGTAACTCCGGAATGTAGACAGGTCTAAGTTGCATGCGACGTAACCGGACTGTAGACAAACGCGCCTTGCAACCTCGTCGGTCTGCGGCCAGGCTGCCGAGTCGCTGCATGCATCGCTTCGATGAAGGCCACCTTGATCTCTGCCGCAGGAGTCCCGGGCCGCCAAGAGCAAGTTGCGGCGCGCCACATCAGGCCTCGATTGGCTATCTTCGATGCAAGCGGGCGTGCTGCTGGGCTGTTGGTCCGCGACTGCGACCAGACGTGCGCAATTCTCAGCCAATCCGGAGCAGAATCACGGCGGAGGATGATTAAGGCGTGGCGTCCTACCGTCGTCGGCAAGAACAACTTTTGAAGAGGGATTGCATGCTGCACAGTGTGAGAAGCGACCGGGGTCCGGGAGAGCTGTGCTCGGCTGCCTTATCGGGTCGTATAATTGGACCCGAGACTGACAGCCAAGGATTGAAATGGGGGCTTTCCAGATGGAACTCGAGGCATCGCTCCAGGTTCTGAGCAGTGATATAAGCAAGGAGAACAGTTTTCGTGAGGTAGCCGAGCAAGTCGGATATGCACGGACAGTATTGATGCAGAATTTACACAGTCTGGGTAGGGCACTCCTGCACTCCGTATCAAGCAGATCGCCGTCGCCGTTGCCGGAACAGGCCAAATGTCACGACCTCGAACCAACAACCATGCACTGCAACGGTGCAAACCAGGGTTCGGTATCCGTCACCACCGCCCAGTTTCGCAGCACATTCTCCCAGCTTGCCCCAAGGAAGACTCTGCGAAAAAGGGATCATGTGCTAGCAGCGAATCAAGTGAGATTTTGTTCAAAATATATCAGGGCCGAATAATCCCGCACATTGCGCTCGCGTTTTCTCAGTCATTGACAGAAATCGGTGGACAGTGGGCAGCAGACAGCAAGAAACAAACAAACAGATGGGTGGGCTGGCCGTGGCTTGTCGGTCTCCCCGCGCTCATCATGCAGGAACTCTGACGATGTGTCGACCTGCAGCCTGTGCAGGTCCAAAACGGCAATTCAGCGCCTATGCACCGCTTTGCCGCCGCCTGGCACCAACAGACGCGCGGATCAAGGACATGGGAAGAGAGATAGCCGATGAATACGCCCAGCTCAAAGACAGCTACCGTATGGCTCCCGCACGGATTCCCCGGTGCCAATCTGGTTCGGTCGAAGTGGTTGACACGTTGCGCCATAGAAACCCCCAAACACCCCATCGTGCTCGCCCACGGCTTGCTGGGATTCGCCGAGCTCAAGCTGGCCGGATCCTACCTGCCCAGCATCAGCTATTGGCGCGGCATCAAGGACGCGCTTAGCGCCAACCGCGCTGAAGTCATCACCGCCTCGGTGCCCCCAAGCGGCTCCATCGAGAAGCGCGCCGCCAAGCTGGCCGAGGACATCGAGGCGCAGGCCAGGGGCAAGAGCGTGAACATCATCGCCCACAGCATGGGCGGCCTAGACGCCCGCTACATGATCTCGCAGCTCCAGCCTGCCAGCGTCGACGTCAAGTCCCTCACCACCGTCGGCACCCCGCACCACGGCAGCTCGTTCGCCGACTACCTCATTGACGCCATCGGCCCCAACTACCTGCCCCGCCTGTACGCAGCCTGGGAGCGGACGACGGGGTGGGAGCCGGGCGCCTTTGCCGAGCTGACGAGGCGGTACATGAACGAGGAGTTCAACCCAACGACGCCCGACGACACGACGGTGCGCTACTTCTCGTACGGCGCCATGGTCCGCTACCGGCCGCCGCTGCTGAGCCCGTTCCGTCTTTCTCATCGTGTTATCAAAGAGCGTGAGGGGCCAAACGACGGCCTGGTCAGCGTCGAGAGCAGCAAATGGGGCACTTACAAGGGCACGCTCCTGGGAGTCAACCACCTTGACTTGATCAACTGGAGCAACAGACTGCGGTTCACAGTGCAAAAGGTGATGGGTCATCCGCCGTCGTAAGTATATCCCTACCACCATGATCTCGCATTGCCTGTTCTGACGTAATTTCGCCGCTCCATAGATTCAACGCCGTGGCCTTCTATCTTGACATTGGTGAGATGCTGGCCAGGGAAGGGTTGTAGGGTTGAGGCAGGGCCTGTTTGTGGAACGAAAGACCTCGTTTGAGACATGGTCAGTACCTGGTGTCAGTCCTCCTGAACGTCCCGATGCCGGTTGCATTCTGCGAGGTTTCACCGGATGCCCACTCTGAAAGAGGGGATCAAGTGTCAGTGGATTAGGCCCGGCTACCGGTGGATGTGCGGTATGACATGTATCACCGTTTACCATCTCCGCAGATGGCGGGCTCCTTCGAGAACCTAGCCAAGCTGTGCCTAGTTCAGGGTTGGTTTCTTCTCCGGAGGCCGACAGGCGGTGGAACAAGACTTGGCGCCCCGAGATGGTCGCCGAGTCTGGCTCCGGTCTGTGCCTCAAGAGTCTTTCGCTGGCATACGAAGGGTCATGGGAAGGTCGTCCCGCGCCGGATATGTCATGCCCGGACCACGACCGCTTCACCGCTTCCCACGCGCCCGTCACCATGTCGTACTGGGCTGTCTGCAAACACAGACACGTGTGGTGACGTCGAGAACTGAAGGCCAGCTCCACGGCCGAGGGTTTCACAGCATACAGCTGGCGCTCCGCTTGGGGAACTTGTCCTAGCTGCGCATCATGGTTCCTGGTTTTCTAGAGGGCGGTTCGAGATGCTCCGGCCTCGCAAGAGACGAACTTGCGGCCATTGGACCAGCTGCAAGCAGGGCGGCTGCATTTCAGAGTGCACGGCGCATCGTGCGTTCACGTCGCGACTATTACGCCTTTGTAAAACAACTCAAGAACAAGAGATGTTCGAGGCGTACAGCAGAGAACCTCAGCCGTGGTTCGCTCGACACCGGTGACCTTGATGCATAATTGTATAGTAGCCGCCGCCTTCCTGTTCCGGTGCCATAATTCCAAGAGATGTCCCGGATACTGCCCGGCCCGAGCCGTTACCGGCATGCTTGATTTCTCACGGTTGGCAAAGTCAGTCGGGGATATTCTATACGTAGAGGAGAATCGAGTCGAAGCGGTGGTTTGTTATGTTCAGAAATACTCCTTGGTAGTTGTCAAACCTCGAACATGGCCACCTGCCTTCTGGGTCACAAGCACCACATCAATTGGCAGGCGGTGCCGGTGCCTGACGTGACACTGTCTCGGCCCATGACACTCTGCTCAGTGATGGTGACGAACTTATCAACTTTCGTGGAGTTGCGCAACGTTATTCGTGGAGAGGAATGGTTCGGTTGGTGCAGCTGGGTTATGCAGGGCTTGAATTGTCACGCGCTTTTCCTGTTATAGAATAGTAACGTTCTTGCAGGGCCTTTGGGCTCGACCCCTGCAGCCCTGTTCTGCAGGGAGCAGCTCTTGCTCGTCGACTTCCAACTTCATTTCTTATCAAGTAGCTTTATCCACTTCGACGACGGCAATGCCGCCTCTGGAAACCCACATCACAGAGGAACAACATGCAGCTACCTAACAACGACAGCTTAGAGTATATTCGTTTTGTCAATGGTTCTGAAGGTCGTTGCATTCACAAGCCTCGCATGTTTCGGACCATGCGGCGGCGTGGTATTCCTGTTCTACAACGCCCGGTTCACTACTCCCACGCTGACCGCTTATAGCGGCCACTGTCTTCGGGTGCGTCCAACACCATAAGTACCTGATCTTCTCTTAAGATTGTCGGGTTTCCAGAATCCTGAAGCTGCCGCTAGGGTTCATTCCGGGCACAACCTCCGCCAACCTCTTCCCGCAATGATTCTCATCCTAATCCCGAGTCCCCACACCCGCGTCACTAGCTGGTTCCGGACATGTGGAATAACGCTCATCACTTTCACCAAGGAAAGAATGTTGAGACGAACAAGTGCTTCTTTGCGCTGCCTTTGGCTGCTGGGCCTCATTTCCTCCGCGTGACTGCAGAATAGAGTCATTGGGTTCGCAGCCAGATCCAACCCAGGCGTGCCTACAACTCCTGACCGGGTTCCCTCTCGTCTGGCCGCACAGCTATGCGCGTGGATATGTCACGACATGCCCACCTCGTGAAGTAGCCGCCTTGGCATGCCTTGATCCTTGGCAATGGGACACGAGCTTCATCTCTTGTCCTACACCATACAGCCCGGCTTGGGAGCACGTGGATGGTTCTTGGGCCGACCGAACGGTAGCGGTGGATGGCTCCGGCAAGTACTCCGTGTCGAACACCCGGAAACTAGGTTTTGTCACAATCGCGAGAGAGCAATGTCTGGCTCTCGCCATCACCCTCTGCTTCTGGTTATCAGTTCTTCTTTTGACTCTCTGGCGGTTGCCTATGAAGGACTAGAACCTTAGCGCCCAATACTCTTCATTGTTGCTCACCTGCTGCTGTATCACCGCTGGTGAGTCTTGCCCCATATTCTCATTCCTGTCATTGTACTCCTATTTCGATGCTGCTGTCCGTATACAAAATCCCTGCCCTCCTGATTCGGCCCTTTCCCTTATCCTCAGAACTCCGGTTCTCCACCGCCAGGGTATTTGGGTCTCTTAACCTTCTAGAAGGCCCCCTTCTTATATCTTCTTACATTTACTTCTACGAGATCAGGACCGTAGAACCTCGCTGTTTTCTTTTCCCTTCTATCATCCTGCCACCATCGTTACCCCTGGTTCACTTGAAAGATATGCGGTTCTTGACAGCGTTGGCTGCCCTGGCCGCAATGGTCAACAACCCCTCTCTTGCCGCTCCGGCTTTCACCCCGGACTTCACCCCGGCAAGGCCGCCGGCTGTGCCGCTGGCCGTCAGGTCACCATACCTGAACGCCTGGCTTCAGGGCGGGTCTGGGGCTATCCTTCCAGGTTCCTGGCCCCGGCATTGGACGTAAGAAAATCACCTCTTCTCATCAGGCTTGTCTCTGTGTTGACTCCGTATGACTGAAAACTTCTCACAGCGGCAACATTCTGGGCTGGCAAGGCTTGGTGGCTGTTGATGGGGTGGCCTACAACTGGATGGGCGGGGCACCGGGCCCATCCCATGTCACGCAGTTGTCGCTCGAGTACACGTCGACCAAGAGCATCTTCACCTTCGACGTTGCTGGAAAAGTGACCATGATCGTCACCTTCCTGTCACCCGTGTACCCGGACGACATGGCGAGGCAATCCCAGCAGTTTTCCTACATTTCCGTCAAGACGAGATCTAGTGACGGGGCGCCTCACGATGTCCAGGTCTACATGGATGTCTCTGGCGGTACTCCAGCCCCTTCACTGTATTTCTGTTTTGTGTTCACTTGGCTAACAAGCAGTGGGACGACAGAATGGGCCAGTGGCGATGTATTTCAGGTCGTCGAGTGGGATACCAGCACCTCCGGCGACATTTCTTACCACAAGTTCTACCGCAAAAACCAAGAGCAGTTCAAGGAATCAAACGAAATTGCCAGCTGGGGTAATTGGTATTTGGCAACTCGCTCCGACACAGGTGTAAGTACTGAGAAGGCGATCAGGGGTGTGCAGCCGGCTGACGCTGCATGAGCAGTTGACTTGGCAGATCGGGCAAGACACGGCGGTGCGAGGGCAGTTTGCAAGCAACAGGGTTCTTGCCAATGTGAAGGAGTCAAACTACAGGCTGGTGAGCGAGCAATGGTAAGTTCGGTTTGCAGCACCTCTCTGACACTCAAAGAGCTTCTAGCTAATCGCGAAGGCCGGTATTTGCCTTCTCCCACAACCTGGGGAAGGTGGAGGGAGGCGAGGTGGAGAGGGTTCTCACACTCGGGCTTGTCCAGGAGCAAGTCATCAACTTTGCAGGCGAGAGCGGCGAGTTGGCGCTGGTGCCAGGACTCTGGTCATCCTACTACAAGGACGAAATCTCGGCAGTTGTTGCTTTCTACAACGACTACGGGCATGCCCGCGAGGTGTCTTCGGCTCTTGACCAGCGGATCCAGACCGACTCGGAGAACGCTGCGGGAAAGGACTACGCCATCGTCACCACACTTGCCGTCCGCCAAACCTTTGGGGCACTTCAGTATGCGGGCACGCCGTCGAAGCCGTATATCTTTCTGAAGGAGATCAGCTCGAACAGCGATATCCAAACTGTTGATGTTATCTTCCCAGCATACCCGATCTTCATGTATCTCAACGCGACGTTGGGTAGGTATCTTCTTGATCCGCTGTATGAGAACCAAGAGAGCGGAGCATATCCCAACGACTACGCCGAACACGATCTCGGAACCTTCCCGGTTGCTAGGGGCTATCCCGAGGGGAACGACGAGCCAATGCCGCTGGAGGAATGCGGCAACATGATCATCATGACTCTGGCTTATGCCCAGCGCACCGGCGACGTTGGCTATCTCAAGGCTCACTACCCCAGACTGGCCCAATGGGCGCGGTTTCTGGTGGAGGAGTCCCTAATCCCCGCGGATCAGCTGAGCACAGATGACTTTGCGGGGACCTTGGTGTAAGTCGTCTTGTACTGTTCGGGACGCCGGCTCTGCGTGCTGACGAGTCTTTTCTTCCTTGTTGCAGAAACCAGACCAATTTGGCCATCAAGGGCATCATCGGGCTCAAGGCCATGTCACAGATCGCCCAGCTCACCAACAACAAGGATCGATTTGGGGAAATTGCCGACAAATACCTTGAGGGCTGGAAAGAGTTGGGCATCAACTCTCAAGCGAGCCCCCCTCACACAACGCTTAGTTACGGGGACAACGACAGCTATGGTGCGTAAACCCTCCCCTGTTGTTGTCATCCTTTCTCACTCTACTCGGCATAGAAAGCTAACCCACCACAATCAAACAGGCCTCCTTTACAACATATACGCCGACAAGCTGCTCAACCTGAACTTCATCCCCCAGTCCATCTATGACATGCAGAGCAACTTTTACCCGACGGTGGCCAACGAGTTTGGCGTGCCGCTCGACACGCGACACACCTGGACCAAGTCGGACTGGGAAATGTTCGCAGCGGCCGTCGCGAGCGAGCCAACGCGCGACATGTTCATCTCCAAACTGGCGCGCTGGGTCGGGGCAACGCCGTCGGATCGCGCTATGACCGATTTGTACGACTCGCAGACTGGCGGGTATCCCGAGAAAGGGCCGTATTTTGTCGCTAGGCCTGTCATGGGGGGCATGTTTGCTTTGCTGGCTCTGTCCGGCTCGGGCGGTGGATATTAGAGTGGTGGAGATGGGTAGGCTATGGTGGTTGTTTCATGGCTGCTGCTTAGGAGCGGGCTGGAACTGGAGGTCTTTGCATTGCTTTGGAGTTTTACGTTGGAGGCCGTGTTGCACCCTCAGGCCTGGTGACTCTTGGTTCATTCCGGATAACTTACAGGTATGCCCTAGAAATAGGTAGATACGAAGAGCCATTGATCACTCTGGTAAAGCCCTGTCTGCGAGCTCATCAGTCCCGCCGACATCAGTCGGTGCCAAAGAAATGCCATGCATGAGTTGAGAGCAGGCTGAAACACCAATGGCGTGACTTTTGGAAATATTGTACCAGCTAGAGTAACATGGTCCACCAAGCCATAGGTATCTGACTCATATAGGTTCCTAAACAAACATCCAAATCGCAAGTGGTACGGTTGTGGTTAGAGACTGCAGAACCCAACGTGGAAGCATGCTGGAGGGCATTGCACCCTTGACTTGCAAGTGCAGGGACCATTAGCCGATCTGGGCGTATCATCATTGAGATTCTAAGGTACCGCACTAACTCTAACAGCCGGACTGGACTGCCCTAGCAACTGCATGAATCTCATTTCCAGGAAAAGCACCCCTGACTGAGATAATGTCAACGGAGGGCTATTGTTGATGATGCAGTAGTGAAAATGAAAAAACACAAAGCTAGTTGGTGAAGATGACCCCGCCTTCCAGTCATTTGACTTTCCAAAACACCTACTATGATACATTCACTCCGAGTCGTCCTTCATAGCCGGTCAATTGTGTTAGCAAAAGACCATTGAGAACTCCCAGGGGAAACGGGCCAGGTGACGAATACTCAAAACTAAACTCCACCCCCCACTCTGGCAAGCACACCAGTTCACCCACCTGCACCAACGATCATTGACACCTGAGGTTCTGAGCAGCGCAGACCTACCTCCGCCCAAAGTCATCGTCAGGCAAGTAGTACGGCATCTTGGCTTCCAGATCCACCAGATTCAACGACTACAACGAAAGATTTCCACACCCTTGGCGAGCTTTATTCTACCCCTCCATCTCGGACACTTCGAGGCTTGGGTTCACACTTAACAATCGAGCGATCCATACTCACACATCGCCCGCAGGCTTCCAGGACAGCCGCAGACATGAACCCTCATCAGGCAAAGAAGATCGACATCAAGGTGTGTCTACATACCCCCATCGACCGCTTCCAGCAGCATTGCCGCGAGCTTCGAGTCGGCCGACCACTAACACCCAACCCCGCAGTCCCTCTCCCCCGAGGAGCAGCGGCTCTTCCGGCTGTACGGCAAGCTGCCCAGCCGCAGCGACCACTTCGCGAAGCACCTCAAGGAGCGCAAGTACTTCGACAGCGGCGACTATGCCATGAGCAAGGCCGGCAAGGGCGACAGCGTCGACACGGGCGCCGTGGGCAGCCAGCACCCCGTGCCCGAGAACATCCCTCATCTCTCGAGCCCCGTCAGCGGTGCCAACGGCATCGGAAGCTTGCTGCATCCCCACCACCATCATCAACATCACGCTTGCATGCAAGCCGGCAGCCCTGTCAAGGAGAGCAGCTTCCTCCATCGCGAGACCAGCGCCGAAGACATCGAGACGGGTGCTGCCGGCTCTGAAGAACAGCAGGAGCAGCAGCAGCACGGGCCGTCAAACGCCCCCCCGGCAGCATCTACAACGGCGGCCAGTGAGCATCAGGAACTCCCCGTGCGGCGGTGAAGTACGCTTCTGGTCCTCCACAACTACACGAACAGTCGAGTCTTAGCGTCTTCCTACCATCTTCAGGTAACAAGGATGTGATACGTGTCCCTTGAGAGGGCTTTTGACGTCGCACCAGCGTACTGGACAGACTGCGACTTACGAGTTTACGAAAACGATTCGCGGCGTCGGGGTTTGGCTTGGATGATTCTTGCGGATGATGACGACAAGGGAGGCAGGATCAAGGGGAGAACGGAAATCGAGTTGGCTGAGTTTCGACGTCGGTTTTGTTTTGTAGTTCTCCCGTTCACGCGCGAGTTAGTTTTGGCTTCCCTTTCCTTCTTCAGCAATGAGGTGCCGGTCGTTTTTCAGCACCACCACTTCTCCTATCTTCTCGCCTATTTGGCGCCGGTGGAGAGATTGCGCGGTCAGCTACAGAAACATGGCTTTCGAGATAATGGGCATGTATGAGACCACGGCGAAGAGAGGGCGCCAATATGGAAGCGATAAACCCCTCAGGTTGAGGTTTCTTTGCGATTTGTACTACATGTAAGCTTCCTGGTCGGTAGCAGCGCAGTCGATTTTTGGGCGATGTGTGTCTGCCAAATCTGATATGGGTTCAGCCAGAATGAAGCGCAATTCAACTTCCAGGCGAACCGTCGGGATGGTGAATCAGCTAAAAGTGTGCTTGTGTTGCCATTTCCCGTCAGGGAGCCTGTGTACCACTGTTCCGTGCCTGCACAGGCGCTCGGCCCCTGGGTTGCCCAGCGGCTTGTGTTGTGCGTGATGTCCACGACTGTACCGCTTGGGCAGCGACGCAGCCGCCCGGGTAACGTTTGTACGACACCCTTCAGATCTCGAGCGCCTTCTTCGCCATCGCAAGGGCACCATCAAACGTCTTGTTCCCGCCAATGAAACCCGAGGCATGGACGAAAACTGAGCCACTCACTCCAGAGATGCGATCCAACTCCTCATCGCGAAAACCCCTCCACGCCTCAGGGAGCGGTTTCCTGCTCTCAAACGAGTCCTTGGCGACTGGTACACACTGAATCCTCCACTTGGCATCTGGGACGGACTTCTCGGGATAGAGAACGTAGAGCACCTTGCCAGCCCCGGGCTGCTGCTCCTCCAGGCTGTAGAGATGATCCTTCCACGGCGCCGACTGGCGCTTCAGCACCAGGATGCGCCCCTCGCTGTCGTACTCGTGCCGCCCCGCAAACGCCTCGGCAACCACCTCCCGCGCGGGAAGCCAGGCTCGCGTAAAGTACTCTAGGTCGCGGTCAAACTCCTCGCCGATGCGCTGGCTGGCCAGCTCAAACCGCCTGTCCTCGGCCTCCTGCGCGGCGATGGGGTTGTCGGAGATCGGATCGTTCCAGTTGGGGTTCAGCCGGCCGACCATGGCGCCGAGCGTGAACCCGCCGTCTGAAAACTTCTTCTCCAACCCGGCCGCCGCCAGCCCCGCCGAGTCGTACACGCTGATGCCGTTGTCGTGCGCGTCCAGCGCCTCGATGAAGCTCTCGTAAATCTTGCGCCACACCAGCCCCACCTGCTCACTGTCTTCCTCGGCCTGCGGCTGGTCCAACCGTCTGGAAATGATCTCCCGCCCAAAGTGCATGTAAACCAACCCCGCGCTGCTGAGCTTGGTCGGGCGGCCGGGGAAAGTGGTGGAAAAGGAGCGCTGGTGGTGGTCGAAGCGGTTGCGGGACGGGTCGTACTCGCCGCCAACGTCGACGACGGTGTGGCACTCGGCGAGGAGTGCCGGGTCGCGCGTGCGGACGAGCTTCGCGCCCGAATAGAGAGGGATGTGCGTACGCAGCATGTACACGGCCAGCGCCTCGTCGGCGTGGAAGTGGCCGTTGTGCGTGCCGATGGCGACCACGCCGTTGTCGGTCTTGAGGCGCTTTGCTGCGTTTTCGGCCATCTTGGGAGATAGCGAGCGGAGCATGCGAGGGAGTTAAGATTGAGTAGTGGGAGTTGCAAAGCTGCGGCCAGGATTCTCTGGGTTTTGGTGTTCGTGGAATTTCAGGTTCAGTGGATTTTTCAATGTTTCAAATGTGGTTCACCCGTACAGAACTTTGTTGATTCATACCGTATTCAATTTGGTTGTTAGTTACATTACGTACGGTGCGAACGCTCCTCCAAGACATGTTGCAGGGTTTAGATTGACAACGCGCTTGCAAACGCCATGACAAGTTCGACGACTCAGCCCTTCGTTCATCTCTGCATTTCGGCGCCTCCTGGCCAGCACAGACCGCCAACCGCCCTCGTTCCAAACGCTGTCGTAAACTTCTAAAACTCCAATTCGCACAAATTCTTGAGTCACTAAACACATCGCAACTTCAAACATTATCCAAACTACCACATGGAGGTTGTTGCGCGCAGCCGACTCGACATGAAGGTAAAAGCCGAAGACGATTCTGCCGACGTCAGAATGGCCGACGACAGGCCAACATACCGATCATGGAAGAAGAAATACCGCAAGATGCGCATCAACTTTGACCAAAAGATGCACGAGGGTGAAGAACTCTACAAGCTTGAACAGAAGGCACTGGCCACGGCCCGGCGGCTCGCGGTACAAAATGAGTACGCTTTGTCAAGTCCCTCTGCTTTCTCACAGGACAGCTCCGCTCACCCCCTCACCAGCCGGCTACTCGATCTCCTCCTCGATGTCAACAACTCAGCCCAGATCCCGCCTGAGAAGCGGATAGACCTGAGCCTCGATTTGCCCTCAGATGACGACTCGCTCCTTCTCGACATCGACCGGCCGTCAACCCCTCCGCCGGGTCCCGCGCCGGCAAAGGCCTACAAGGACCTCCTCCGGGAGGTACCGCACTTCAGATTTTCCTCGGCGCCCGAGCGCTTCCCAAAACTTGTTGCCGACCTCGAAGCCGGCCGCGACTCGCCCGCCGACCCAGCCCAAGGCCAGCTCCACCCGCCCACCTTCCTCGCAGCCGATGACATCGACAACTACATCTGGGAACTCGACACCCATCTAGCAATCGAGGAAGCCGCCACGGGCGGCACTCGCAAAACTACAACAGACCCAATTCCTCCGCTTCCCACCCTCGCTCCGCTAGCCCACACCGACCGCCCCAACCCCAAAGACGCGCAGCGCGACTTTGCCGTCCGCAACCCGATCTCGGTTTACAACTGGCTGCGCAAGTACGCGCCCAAAACATTTCTGCAGGACGCCGAGCAGCACCACGACAGCAAAGAAAACGGCAGCGGCGGCGACCACCACGACGGTCACCACGGGTCCGCACGCAGCCGCGGCGGTGCCAAAGGCGAGCGGACCCCGCGAGGCACAGCAGGGACCGGCTCGACGCGCGGCAAGCGCGCCAGCACCGCACACAGTCGGGTTACTGCCGCTGCTGTTGCCGAGAGCTTTGGCGAGGGTCCGGACGACGAGTTTGGTTATGGCGGCGACGGCGGGAGTGCCATGACCACCCCCGCCGGTGGTGCAATGGGCGGCGGAAAAGGAAAGCGCAAGAGGGTCGTGGACGACGATCCCGGGTATAGACCCAAGGGCGGATCCAGTCGGCCCGCCAAGAAGAAGCGGAAGAGCGAGGGCGGTGCTGGTGCCGAGAGGACGCCGGCGGCGCCTAAGGGAATACCACGGAAGAGTATTTTGTGACGAGTCGACTTGGGAGGGGATTCTCATGAGGAAGATCCAGGTGCAAGAGCGAGTTTGACCGATGGGTTCTTTGTCTCTCCTTCTTCCCAGGCCTCCAAGCGCCGTAGAGGGCCGTATGTGGCGGCGTGTATTATTGGCACATCATCAAGGGTTGACGTATGACGCATCGATGAAGAGTTCTCAACTGGGATTTGTTGCAAATTCCGAGGCAGGGGAGTAGTATGGGGTTCAGGCGTAGATCGGACCTGCTTGGTGGTGAGTGAAAATGGCGTGGGCACGGCGTCTTCTTTTTCTCGTGTGTTTGTAATCATATGCAATTGCTCATAGAGTTTTTCAACCTACAACCACAACCTAGACAGACTCATTAAGTGTGTAGAGAAAGGTTCGTCGGGCAGTCATCCTGCGATGAACCAAGTGGAAATAAGATGACGATCCAAAACTGGAGGTCAATACGGGGAACTTATTGCTAGCTGCTCCAAGATGACGGTATACATTATATACAGAAAGCGTTATAAGCAAGAGCTCAACGCACCCGGCATATACATCTCCAAGGTGTCTGATGTCCAAGTCAAGGACACTCTCACCCAAGAAGGGACTACATATCTTGAACAACCCTCAACATGCCATGCTAGACAGCCAAGCAAAACAGACGAGACTTTGTTCTTCAAAGCCCCTCCGAACAGGACCTTCGTCCCAGCTTGATGCGCCGGCCGGTACACAGGGCTGTCGATATGTTGTTAAACGTGTGATTCTGATTCTTCCCGTGCCGACTCCGAAGGCAAACAGCCCGACAAACTCGGGCGACATCCGGCCGCTGTCATTAAACTCCTTGCTTAGAGCTTCTCCTTCAGGCTCTGCTTCAGCCTCCGCTCAACAGCGCTGAGGTACTCGCCCGTAGTGACGTAGTCCTCGCGGGCGGTCTTGCCGCAGGCAAGAGCCAGATCCTTGGTCATGATACCGTCAATGTCGACCGTGTCGATGCAGGCCCGCTCGAGGCTCTCTGCGAAGGCAATGACCTCGGGGGTCTCGTCGAGCTTGCCACGCTGAATCAGACCGCGCGTCCAGGCAAAGATGGAGGCAATGGGGTTGGTGGACGTCTCGCGGCCCTTCTGGTGCTCGCGGTAATGGCGGGTAACGGTGCCGTGCGCGGCCTCGGACTCGAACGTCTTGCCGTCGGGCGTGATGAGCACTGAGGTCATCAAGCCCAGGGAGCCGAAACCCTGGGCGACAATATCGGACTGGACGTCACCGTCATAGTCTGTCAAGTGAGTCAGTTTCGCTTGAGAGAGACCGCAGAGTCGCAACCAGGCAGGCAACTCACTCTTCAACGCCATGATGTAACCGCCGCTGCTCTTGATCATCTGAGCGACCATGTCATCGATCAGGCGGTGCTCATACCAAATCCCCTTGGCCTCAAACTCGGCCTTGTACTGAGTGTCGTACAGCTTCTGGAAGATATCCTTGAAGCGACCGTCGTACTTCTTGAGGATGGTGTTCTTGGTGCTCATGTAGAGCGGCAGGCCCTTGTCGAGCGCGAGCTTGAAGCTGGCGTGCGCGAAGCCGGTAATGCTCTCGTCCGTGTTGTATTGCGTTTGCGCGACGCCGCCACCGTTCTTGAACTCGAATACCTCAACCTCTTGGGGCTCGCCGCCGGCAGGGGTGTAAGTCATGGTGAGCTTGCCCGGACCCGGAGCAACAAGGTCCTTCGCCCGATACTGGTCACCGAAAGCGTGGCGACCAATGATGATGGGCTTCTTCCACCCAGGAACCAGACGCGGAATACGGGGGATGACGATGGGCTCCCGGAAGACGGTGCCGCCTAGAGCATTACGGATGGTGCCATTCGGAGAAAGCCACACTGTTGGGAACAAAAATCGGGCACGTTAGCTCATCAAGCCTCGTTCTTATCTAAGCAACCGTTCCAAATACCGGGAAGCAGGGCGAGGTCCCGACGTACTCTGCTTGAGATTAAACTCCTTGACACGAGCCTCATCAGGGGTGATAGTGGCGCATTTCACGCCCACCGAGTACTTCTTGATGGCCTCGGCAGCATCCAGAGTGATCTTGTCGTTGGTCTCATCACGGTACTCCAGCCCAAGGTCGTAATACTTGAGGTCAATGTCAAGGTACGGGAAGATGAACTTCTCCTTGATGTCCTTCCAGATCACACGGGTCATCTCATCGCCATCGAGTTCGACGACGGGATTCTTGACCTTGATCTTGACGGGGGCGTCGGTGGCCATTGTGCGACGGTTGAGCTGCGAGTAGACGAAAACCGGGGTGGCGCGTGGGAGGGCCGGCGAAGTCGTGACACGGAAGCTGCTGGAGAGCGGACGGAAGGCAGTGCGAGATGCGCCTGGAAGGGAAGCACGCAAGGCTGCTGTGGCGACAGGCGGCATGGTGAAAAAAGAAGGAGGAGTGAAGTCTAAAAGATGAAGCCTGGCTGCTGGAGGGGGTCGGGCTGTCGAGACCGAGCCGGATCGGGCCGCCCGTGAGCGCAGGGTCGGCCTTTCGGAGCTGGAACTAGCAAGTGAAAGAAAGGGCCCGGTGAACGAAAGCCGAGGAAGCAGAGGCGACGATCCGTCACGTAGGATGTTGATTGGATGTGCGTGGTGGGCCGCGGTAACTGGGCCCGGCAAAGAGGAACTGAAGCTGAGGAAGCTACGGGTACTTTGGAGAACTGGAGCTCAAAACTGGGAGAACCCGGCGCTAGCCGTGAGGTAGTGCACCGATTCTGATTGTTGACGCGAAGGATATATCTGCTTTGGGGCTGAGAAGCAGCAAAGTCAGAAGAGTACCGCAAGTCAGTTGTTTGCGGGGCAACGGCGATAATGGGAAGAGATTATACTCGCCGTACTCGTTTGGTGTTCAGACGGCCCGTCTCTCATAATATCTCAATATTTGTCCGGTGATCGGAGGGAAAATTATGTGCATACGGATACTCACCAAAGCGACGAATTGATCAGGCTACCCAAAAGGGGAAAGCCCTTCCCCGAGAGCGGGGCTTGAAGGTGTCGCAGATTGCGGGGATTGACAGCTCCTGCTCATCCGAAGGACGAATGCCGAGCCGCCGGCGATAAGCATGCGGATATCGCCGGACACAGGACAGCCATCAGAGCATGATTAAGACTCCCGTAGGCAACATGATGCCGTTGAAATAACTGACAGGAGATCTCAGCCATGCGAAACGTTTCAGGTTTAGCATTGTGCGTGGAATGCGTGCCAGGACAAGACAGTCGAAAACACACTTCCGATATCGTAAATATTCCTGACTCATCCTCCTCTCCCACAGAGCGGTCGTACAAAAAGCTGCCAGTTGAGTGCTCCAATTTCCAACCACAAGAAGAAAGCCATTTCTCAGGCCACGCACAATCCTGTCTATCTTCAAAGCCATCATGTGGAAAACGTACAACGTTGATACATAGCCCTTGCCGTCTCCCACCCACAACGTGGATTTCGAAGCCGCCGTTCCATTCTCAGCGTAAGAGAGCTGGATGATGGAGGCTTCAGCAGATCAAGAGCAGAACCTTGCGCTGTCCCCGCCGCCATAACATGTTAAGCCAACGCCATCATAACGCACACAAGTCTCCAATAATCCGTGGAGAGCCTCCCGAACCGAAAGACAAAAGAAACCCAGTTACCCAGAATGTCAATTGAAGTTGGATTGGGTCGGTATACCAGAAAAAAAGCCACTCCCTGTTATATCCCAGCAGTCGAGCTACCGGCCGGTGTTGCTCCACTTGGGGATCTGAGGTCAGGCCGGCCAGACTGTGATGGCTTATTAAAACCGAATAAGAACTCCTTTCCATAAGCAGTAACAGAGGTGGGTCATAAAACGGGCTGTTGAGCCGCCGGGAAAAACACATGAACCTAAGTGCGAAGGAAAGGATCAGGAAGGATAAGCATGTCTCGGGCCAGAAGCAGGAGCACCGGGTCAACAATGTCCTTTCACGGTGCTGTTGTTGATATGGTACTGCCTTCCGGGTTTGCCCTGAAGCTTCAAACATCAGTCCAAGATCGTCGTCCGGTAGTGCTGCCGTTCCTTCTCGCAAGGGTTCCCGCAGCCGGGGCAGACAAAGCCATGCTTGCCCAAGCTGACCCGGACGAGACACCGGCTGCAGCGCCACCAGCCGCACTGCAACGCTTGCGTGGCGCGGGACGCCCACCAGGCCTGGTCGGCCTTGTTGTGGCCTCGCCGCAACAGGTCCTCCTTGTGGTAGATGCGCAGGTGGTCGCGAAAGTGATCCTGGCGGAAGAAGGGCAGGGTGTGTCGGGCGCATCGCTTGTAGTCGCACAGGTACTTGACCTTTTGGTCGTCACCGAGATGCACGATTCTGAAGTGGCGCTCGAGGTCGGCCTGCCGGCCGGCTGTCTTGTTACATTTGTGGCATTTGAATCTCTCCTTCTCGGACGGTGCTCTAGAGGTGGGGTTGCTTGTCAGCTGGGACGAAGGGGCGGTATCGAGGAGAGAAAAGCTCTCTCAACTTACCGGGCCGGTGGTTCGTCGGTACCTACGACAGACTCGGAATTCGCAGCGTTCGTAGCACATTCCGGAATCCGGATCAACCTGGCGAGGATTGCTACGATGGCATAGTAACATATATCGATCACTTTTGGGCCCTGGAGGCGTATCTGTAGTTGGTAGGCCGCCTCCTCCAGTATCCTGGTCATCTCAGCGTGAAAGAGATCCATCTTATGGAAGCGAGGGGAAAGCTCCTGGTAGAGAATGTCCTGCACGGCCGGGCGAACCGGTTCCTCAAAGCCCTGCTCCAGTTGCCTCTGGAGGGCTTCTTCGACCGCCTCAAAGGTGATAACTGATGGGCCGTGGTCTCCAAACGACGGCCGGGTTATGACAAGCGAGTTTGCAGCCAGAGTGGCGCGCCATGCGGCTTTCTCAATGCTCGCCTGGGAGTTGAGCGGCTGTGAAGCGCTCGACAACTGCGGCACCCGGGGCAAGTGGTGGTCGCTTTCCTGGTACTGAAACCCGGTGGCAGAAAGCATGTGGTGGTCGCTTTCCTGGTACTGAGACCCGGTGGCAGAAAGCATGTGGTTGGCGTTCCTGAGCTCGTCAAAAGACGTTGGGTCCGGGTATGACGATGCCTGGCAGTGCAGGTAGTCATCATCGATGAAAAAAGCGGATTCTGACGAGTACTCTGTCGGCGAAGAGAGTCTTGAAAACGAAGCGCTAGCCGTGTAGTTGCTGTCGACCGTACAGCTGGTCGATTGGGATTCACTCCTCTCCATGCTGAGTGAAACATCCCAGCCGCCATCTTGGCCTGGAAAACGGCCGAATGTCGCTGAATAAGAATAATCCGGATGCGCAGCCATGAAAGCCGTCGGTAGTTTGAGTCGAAGATGCTTACTAGATCGGAACCGTACCGTTTGACCGGTTGACCCGAGGACAAGGCTTGGATGCCAGCCCTCAGCGGCTGGAGTTTCCAGCCAGAAGAGAGACAGTATAGATGAAGAAACTATCGAGTGCGGTGGAGAGAGCTGAGCAGATGAATGGTGTGGTGTGCTGGCCCCGTGCAATATGGACCGGTTATTCCATAGCCCATATGTCGCGACGACTGGAAGCAAGCCCTTGCTAGGGACCGCGGAGTGAGGCGGAACGACACAATGCTCACCGTAGGTAAGGCGAGCGAGGGTCGAGATGGAGGGTATCAGAACAGGAAAGGCGCTGCAAGACGGCCACAGCCTGCAGTATATCCCGCATGGAGCACGCGACACCTGTTGAGGGGAGAAGCTTTAACACAGACCGGACCAGAGATTCGAGGCAACGCCAACCCGAAGGTGCTTATCGTTGTAATCAAGGCGTCAATTGCCAGAGACCGGGCGGCTGGCTAGACCAGAGCCTCTGTAGCAGCGTATCCTCCTCCACTGTTTTACCCTCTTGATCACCGGACCACGAAGGCAAAGACGCGGCTATCACATTCACAGCCACGCCGATGGCCGCAATGCTCCGAGTAGGTCTCGGTGGGCGAAGAGAGGGGGCCTCACGTCAGCTAAGGAGAGCCTCACTGCCAAGGCCTGATTCCAGATTCGATCCCGACCTTCCTTCAGAGCCCGGCGGAAGCGAAGGATACATTTCTCGCCGTGTTTTAGCTTGGGACAAGCGACGGAAACGGAATAGAAATGATGGAAGTCCAAGGTGAGCTGGGCACCTCGACTCAGCTTAACCAGCTTCGAAACGGGGCAACAGCCAGCTCTTTCTTGTCGGCTTGCCGTTTTGATACATTGCCTTGGCAGGTCACACTTGGACCTGAAGCCAAGGGGTCGCCAGAGTCCGGGCTATCGTCATCAGTTAGGAACTCTAGACTGCAGACTGCCGAGTCTGGATTGCAACCTGGCAAGACACAGCCTGTGTGGGGTAGATACGGGTGGGTAGGACGAGCCTCGTGGCGGACAGAGCAAGAGAAGTCCAGTCCAGCCTGATGGAACGCGGAGCGCGACTCCTGGCAGGCGGCGTAGACTAACAGCCTCGTGCGAACCACGAGATAACGTCCGCCGTCCGCCGCATGACGAGAACGGACGAGATCCCAGACCGAGAGCACTGAAAGGCAGTGAAAGAATGCGACACGGCCGAGGTCGCAAGGAATCAATACTGCGGCTTGTCACCCACTTGTTGATTGAGCGAGCTGGTAGAAGTGATGCGACTAGGCGGTGGCTGCAAAAGATCAGCAACTTAAAGGCGTTGCCTTCGTTCGGTGCGACTGAAAGATGTCTGAGAAGCGCAAGTCGAAAAAGTCTCCGAAAAGGCCCCACTTGCTGTCGCCTAACCTGCAGCTCTCGGTCTGAGGAGCTCACCTTCGCTAAAAACCCCAAGATGTCTGCTAATTCGTCAATCGAGTGAGACCGACTCTAGAAATCAGTGTTTGTGTGTGGAACGCAGCCAATGTGCCTTGAAGTACTCCGTACCTCGGTGCCTGGAGGTCGAGGAGCTCCAGGTGAGGACCTATCATACCCCATGCAGCAAGAAGCTGCGCCCTAGCTGCGCCCCCTGTACCTTGGCCGGATTCACTCTACAATGGAACATGGAGCCGAAGGCCATGAGTTCTGCGCTATCCGGAAGGGAGCCTGGGGTTGTTTTTTTTTTTTAAAGGACGGACTCACGGGTACCGCAGGGCGCAGATGTCGTTTCATCTTGAGAGTCGAGACGGCACCCGCCGAAGTCCACGAAGGCCCATCTCAACCGAGGGTCTTGCGTTCCAGATCCGGCACCGAGGTATGTCATGCAGCGCCCAGCACCTTCACCACGCTCGCCCGGAAGTATCCCCACTCGGATCCCCTAGGCAGATTCGTGGGCTCACACCATACATAAGGTAGAGGCAGAGAGGCCCAGGGAAACAGGCAAACAGCACAATTTCAATCCGCTTTGCATGGGTCCGCTATCAGCGACACATTCGCCTCCTTCCTGACGTTTTGTTCCCGTTTCTTTGCTCTTTTCCTGTCATAGTAGAGATCGATTCAGGCTGCACGACAGCGGCAGCTGGGCAAGTGGCGGGCAAGCCAACTTTGGGAGACCGACCGACACAGCACAGCTTTCAGGTAAACCACTGGGAAGGGATAATCGGCGGAGGCAATACGTTGTGTCTTGTCTTTTGCCGTCCATCGGAGGGAGAACTGGTGACGCGGCCGCGTACCGTAACCCAGCCGGGTCCTGCCCCAGAAAGGGATGCCATTTACTCATACCGAACACCGAAGCATACTCCATACCTACTCACCAGGCCGCCTTGTCCTCCTCCCCCGCCTGCCTGGCTCCTTGACCTGAAGGATGCCGCCTCCGCACACGGAGGAGCGCACTCAGACCTCATCCTCGAGGAACTTATACGCGAACTTGAAGTCAGCCTTACGCCGGTTCATCCTGTTCTAAATTAGCTCCTATCCCACACCAATGTAGCCGCGGGATATTTCGTCTCACCATGTGCTCTCGTAGTCAAAGAAGCGGTACGTCCCCTGCTCAAACTCCTCCGTGATGGACTTGGGCTCTTCGTGCCGCTGGAACCAAGTCTGGTACTGCTTGTGGAACCGCCAGCTCTGATCTTTCAGCGCCCGCGCCGCAAGGTACTGCTGGTACGTGCCCTGCTTGTAGTAAAAGACGTAGAAGAGCGTGTCCGGATCAATCCGGGAATAGAGCCGCGGATCGTCGAAAATGGACAGCGGCTCCTGAGGGAATCGAGTATGCGTCTGGAACTTGACGTCGGGCTGGTAGTTTCGTGGCGGCTCGGCGTCCAGGATGCCCGGTTTGCTCGCCTCTGATAAGGCTTGCATCCTTTGCGTTGTGGGGGCGTTTAGGGGCGCGGGCCGCTTCTTGGTCACCTCGAATGACTCGACCAAATCCTGCAGAGACGCGGGCAGATGGTATATCGACTCTGGTTCCTCGTCCGCCTCGTCGACCGGCCTGATACCATTGGTCGCGCCGTTTGTTTGCGCTGCTGTAGAGGCCAAAGTTAGCACACCTATGGATCACAACAGTTCGGTTGATCACCCAAACCTTTTGCAGATTCGGCTGCATCCACGGCGGCAGGCTGCGCCACCGCCTTGCCCTTTGCCGCTGCCTTGCTCGTCTGAGGGACCGGTGTTGAGCTTCCTGCCGGTGCGGTGGTTGTGCTGGCGACGTGTGACACCGGCTGTACCGTTACAACACCTGGCGAGTCCGCTGCGTTCGTTCTGGCCTGGGCGCCCGCACTTGGTGTCGCTGATGGCGGCGGGGGTAATGGGGCGATACCGACATTGTTCGCCGCTGCCGCTGCCGCGCTGGCATATTTCAGGCCTTCGCCAGCGAGCCTGACCGGCGGCGCTGCCGGCTTCATGCCAGTATTGGCCGAGGCGCCATTGTTGCTGCTGAGAGTCGGTAGCGGTGTGCTGTGGACCGTTGCGAGCGTGGGAAGGGGTGATTTGAGCTGAGTCGAGGGCCGCCGGGCAGCCGATCCCGCCACTGCATCCACCGCACTCTTTTGCTTACCAGCGGGCGCGCTCGCTGGCTTCGGCTCGGGTTCGGCAACCGCGTCGTCCTGTATCGACTGGGTGTCCTGGGAGGATACCCTGTCGTTGTCCAGATTCATGCCGTATTGGTCTTCCTCGTCCTGCAGGTTCAGGTCGTCGTACATAGTCTCGTCCTCCATGAAGTCATCGTTCATGCCGTCCGACACGTAGTACTTGATGTTCTCCCCCAGCTCGTTGACTTGGTCGGCCTCGACGCCCCCGTTTTCGAGCGAGCGCCTGATCAGCTCTAGCTTTCCCTGGTGCCATTTGTGCCGCTCGATGATGCGTTCGATCTCGGCTATGCGCTCCGCCTTGGCGGCGTGCCCCTTCCCTTTCTTCATGGTTGCCTGTATTGATTCGCTCTCGGCCTCGAGGGTCTCGATCTGCTGCTCCAGTTCGTCGACCATGCTGCTTAAGAAGTCGCTTGCGTCCATCTTGGCCTGCTCCTTAGGGTCCAGCTTGGCAGCCGCAGAGAGCCCCTCTTTCGAGTACGCCTTGGTCTTCATGGCCTTTTCGACCGCCTTGAATTTTTCCATTTGCTACAGAGACGGGTAAGTCTGCTGGCCAGCACAGGCAACGCGGCCGATTGGAATACAAACCGTCTCAATTAGGCGACGCTGCTCCAGGAGCGGCGCTTTGTCCTTGATATCGTTACTGGCGGCCCATGTCTTGATCTGATCACGCAGCCTTTGCAGCTTCTTGATCTCGCGCTTGAGCTGGTCTTCTAGTTTCTCTTTCTGCGCCTGGTTCGTTGACTGCTCAATCTTCTCGTAGATGGCTTCGAATTCGGCGACACCCTCGGCCACCTTCTTGAAGCACTTGTCGACTTCTTGTTGTAGTTTTCGCGCGGCCATTGTGTCGGCAATGGTCCGCGAACCGAGGATGGCTTACGGAAGGGTCGATCTCGTCCAAGGGAAATTGCTCGTTGGCCCGGTCAAAAAGCCGGGCGGCTGGTTTCGTACTTTGTGTGCGGGTGAAGAGGTCGACTGGTATCGCGGAAACAACATCCAACGTCAACCCAGCTCGGCAAATGATTCCATGCAAAGGCGGGACGCACATCCCGGCCCATGTCGCTCGGCCACAAGCACTTACCTGCTAGAATGACAGGAGGAGGTCGCTCGGAATCTGTTGATCTCGTCCTGTGTTTCGGGGCAGCAGTGGTCAACCTGCAAACGGTTTGCGATGGCAATGTAGATGGAGATGGCGATTATCCGCAGACCGTGACAGGTCAGCTCGGCACGCGGCTGGCGCTTGGCGATTGGCGCCTGCTATTACTACGGAAGCCCTTTAGCGGCAATATTTAAAAGATTGCAGAAGTACCGTATCAACGAACAAAACTGGCCGGGTCTAACCAAAAGGCAGTTGATTAAGCATTAGAAAGCATTTTCAACTCTCTTATCTTGTTTTATACAAGTACTGTTACACAATCTCTACACACATGATGTTATAGTCAGTTCTCAGTGTTCTACCAGAGTTGCATTAAAGTTCCGATTACTCCGTAATATTTACTCTGGAGCTGAAGGCAGACTGGAAGAGCCCACTTTCCTTTTGCGGCCGATTTACAATTCAACCCTGTTCGTTCGTTAGCGTGGCACATGGCGGACACGAGACATGAAATGCATGAAATGGGAAACGGACCAAAAATACTGTTAAAAAAGACAAACGCAAGAATGAAGAGGGAGGAGGAAGACAAAAGGTGAAATTTGAATAGAAGAGGAAAGGAGAAGACAACGATATACTAATAATGTCTCAAGAGGAAGAACGAAAGCAAAAGGGGCTAAAACGCGAAGTTCAAATCTTCAGGTTCCACGCTAACAAAGGCACCAGAGCTGAATTGTACTTGTGATGGATCTAACTCCGGACCGCCATAACCCAGCCTCTACAACTTTTGGAGCTTGGAGGGAGGTTGTTTCAAGAGAGCATTAATAACACCAAACGGCCATCTTATCGCCGAGTCGCTCATTACGGAGTATACCTGTCATATATTTCGATCCCAGTTGTAGTCCTCCCGCTGCCAGCCTTTCCTTCCTTCCATTCGGCGTTCCCTATGGAAGCTATGCTGTTGTTACCTTAACCATCTCCTTTTTGTCGACTCATATCTGTCACTTGCAACAGCCCGAGTTTGTGCCGCATAAATGAAAGGTGTGTACACCCACAATACCGCATCCAAACACCCAGGTTTGTTCCCCGAGCTGCCCATGTTCTAAAAGGAACCCGTTTAGCCATACTTCAGAGAGTCCTTTCGGCCTCGGTCACTGTGGACCAGGAAATTGTCTCCAAAATCGGCCAAGGCGTGCTTGTCTTCGCAGCCGTGGCACCTGGAGACACCGAGAAGGAGGCGGAGTCATTAGCTGCCAAGGTGCTCAAGTTGAAGCTGTGGGATGATGAGTCCGGGGCCCGCGTAAGATTCTTCCCTCCAGCCCCATATCCCACTGTGCCTCTGACTGGGTGGAATCAGTGGAAAAGAAATGTCCAAGACATCTGCGGTGAAGTTTTATGTGGTATGATGTTTTGACTCGGGATGAACACTTGGTGCAAGTTCTAACGGTCGCTCTAGTTTCTCAGTTCACACTCCTTGCGTCGACGAAAAAAGGCAGCAAACCCGACTTTCACGGGGCAATGGGGGGAAAGGAGGCGAAGAGACTTTACGATCACTTCTACAGCAAAGTACAAGCGGGTTATGCGGCAGACAAGGTCAGGAATGGTGTATTTCAGGCCACGATGCAAGTTGCATTGGTCAACGACGGTCCGGTATGAGCTTACCTTACCGCTGTCGACATTCCTTGTGCAGCAGTTGACTCTCGAAGGTGACGCTGGAGCTATCGGCAGCGCCAAAACCGGACAACGATTAAAAGAAGGACAAAGGCGGCGGATTGTCAGCCTGATTACCGCTCGGTCGCTGAAGGGATCCGACCTGGAACCGAAGAACGGTCCCAGCGTTTTCTCTCGAAAATTTAGAGGAAAGTGCAACCGAACAACAAAAGGTATCGCGAGACTCGTGCCTAGCTTCTGGTGGCATTTTGGTTCCAGTTTTGTTCATGAAAGACAGAAGGAACCTGATATTCGTAAAGTCGCGCCTTGCCTGTATTGTACGTATCCGTTTCTCACAGTACCTGGGTCCTGGCTGCGCCCATCTCAGCCGACTTGTCTATCTGCACTTTACCCTTGCATCTATCTGCACATAGTCCGTATTAAAGGGAATTTCGCAGAAAGTGGGGAACCCTCGACACCAATACCGCTATCTCTCTATATCGAAGGCCTCAAATACCAGTGCATACTAACAAAACCGAAACCACAGCAGTCTACACAAAAGCAAATTACAAGCTCCAAATCCCTGGGCCGATCACGGTCGTAGTCGCCTTCAAATGGTTGGGTTTCCACGGTTTTCGGACCTGCCTCAACGCCGGATATAGGGCCGAGCCGGCGCCGGCCTTGGCGTCCCACTATCGGGAGTTAGTGTGTCGGGAGGTCGGAAAACAGTACACGTCCAAACCACCGAAGGTCTCGAAAATAGAACACACCCTAGGATGATAATTCATCTTATTATATGCAATGATCGTAGTGGTGATGTACGATATTTTTGCCCTGAAGTGCGGGTTAAACCTGGAAGGGCCGGTGGTGTTGACTTTCATTGTGACCCACTTCCTGCTAGGCTTACTTCGTAAATTTGTGCAGGTAGGTGAAGGGAGTAAGTGCAGGTAGACAGCTCGATCTCATCGGATCCGCTTTCCCTAAGGGAGTTAGACTGCTGCGGTGTAACCTCCCCCACCTTAGAAGCACCTTCCTGCATGTGGTTGCCCCACCATATCGAAGCTTCACGAAGCCTCATGCTCAGACTTGTATCTCAGAAGCTTGTTATTTTGCGGTCAGTCGATAGGTAAACGAGACGAACTTCTGCTCCGGAAAACTCACTATATGCTCTTACCATCTTTTTTATTGATTCGTCGAGAATCAGAAACTGTTCTTCCCAGCCGCCCGTAGAAGACCGGAGCTTTCCACATAGAGATCCATCACGAGTTAGCGCAAACCGCTGGACGAGACAGCACGCAAAGTAGGCTGAGTACCAGACGTTTCGTCCTACATTTCCCGCTTGACTGGTCTTCCCGGTATCACTCGTATTCTCAGCTACTTTCCTTTGCGCTCTTTGCTAACTTCCCTCCCAAGGATTCGCTTCTGCAATCGCAATTCAGTCGACAGAGATCCCGTACTTCACACGAAATCAGCATGAGCACCAACGAGACCAAGACGGCTCGCAGCCGCGTCTTCTTCGATATTACCATTGGCGGGAAACCGGCCGGTCGCGTCACGTTTGAGCTCTACAATGACATCGTCCCCAAGACGGCCGAGAATTTCCGCGTCCTGTGCACTGGCGAGAAGGGAGTCGGTAAGGCCGGCAAGCCGCTGCACTACAAGGGCTCCAGCTTTCACCGGGTCATCAAGCAGTTCATGATCCAGGGCGGTGACTTCACTGCTGGCAACGGCACTGGTGGCGAGTCCATCTACGGTGCCAAGTTCGAGGACGAGAACTTTGAGCTGAAGCACGACCGTCCTTTCCTGCTGTCCATGGCCAATGCTGGTCCTGGTATGGATTGCCCACCAACACTTCGAGGAACCACGGTTGCTAATCTCTTCTCTGCGCTCTTTTACAGGAACCAATGGCTCACAGTTCTTCATCACCACGGTCCCGACCCCGCACCTTGACGGCAAGCACGTCGTGTTCGGCGAAGTCCTCAGCGGCAAGTCGGTGGTGCGCCAGATCGAAAACCTCCGGACCCAGGCCGACAAGCCCGTCAAGGACGCCATCATCGCCGACTGCGGTGAGCTCTCCCCGTCCGAGGCCGTTGGCGCCGACACCAAGGCGCCGGACGCGTACGGTGACGAGTACGAAGACTTTCCCGAGGACCAAGTGACCGGCGACGAGGTTGTCTCGGCCTCCCAGATTCTCAAGATTGCGACCGACTGCAAGGACTTTGGCAACAAGGCCTTCAAGGCCGGCGACCTCAGCGTCGCCCTCGACAAGTACCAGAAGGGCCTCCGGTATCTGAACGAGGACCCGGACCTGGACAACGAGCCGGCCGAGACGAAGCAGCAGATGGACGCGCTGCGCGTCAGCCTTAACAGCAACGCGGCGCTGATGAATCTGAAGTTGGGTGCGTGGGATGAGACCGTCCGTGCGGCGGACAGCGCTCTGGCTGTCTCGACTATCTCGGACAAGGACAAAGCCAAGGCGCTCTATCGCCGCGGGTATGCGCAGGTGCGCTTGAAGGACGAGGATGCCGCGCTCGAAAGTCTGGAGCAGGCCAAGAAGCTTGCGCCGGAGGATACGGCCATCAATGCTGAGCTGGCTACGGTCAAGAAGGCGGCCGCAGCTAGGGCCGCGAAGGAAAAGGCTGCCTTCAAGAAGTTCTTTAGTTGAGGAGGGGTTGATTGTATTTCAAGGCAGAAACCATGATACCATGGGCCACTGTTGGGCGAATACCCGTCAGGAATCAGGCGTGAATCGACAGAGATCCCCGTGATCCTGAGAAGATGGTGAGCCTAAGTTTTCCTAGAGATGCCTGCTGATATCCGTGGCAAGAATAATGATGTTTTTTTTCAGGGCTAGTGACGCAGCCAGACTCTCAACGACCAAGTGAAGATGCTCGCTTCACCCGCTTGGCTTGTCGTAACCAGATAGATGATACGTGTACACAAAAGATACCTCCACATATGCGGCGAAGCCGAGGAACTCTTGCTCCCATACATATATGCATAGCCAGCGCTGCTAACCCGGGTCTTAAGTGGGCTTTGCCTCCCCTGTTTCACGGCCGCGCAACTGTCACCGCTTGCCTCGACTCGGGCAGCGCACTGAGGCCGCCGCCTTTGTTGCGTTCCCGTTCCCGTTCCCTGTCCCTGTCTCTCTCTTTGTTAATCCCCGCCCACCCTTGAATATCTTTTACTTTTTCTCTCTCGTTGAAATTCTCCTGGCCCGGCGGCGCATCCCTGTCCCGCTCGTAGCTCTCCCTGCTACTATTACCACCACCAGTACTCATCATGGGTAACGAAAGGCCACCCGTCAGCACCGCCGCGGCGGCATGTTCAGGCGTTCCAGCGGTCCGCGTCTTGCGGATGAAGCCGCTGAGGAGCTTGCGCGGGTGAATGCCGCTGCGCAGGGTGCTACGCACTGTGTTGTTGTTGCCCGACGCGTTGACGTTGCTGCCCTGGCTGGCCGAGAGGAGCTCGCCTCCATTGCCGTTGTTCCGCGACACTTGACGCAGCGAGCTAGGCAGGCCCATTATGTCTCGACTACTGAAGCTGCCGTGTCGGGTGGTGTCTCGGCCCATTATGCTGACCGTTCCAAACGGAGGGGATGTGCTGGGTAGTACATCCACCTCGCTTCCGGACGATCCGGGAGGATGATGGGCCCCCTCGCTCTCAGTCCAATATGCTGTTGTGCCGCTGCTGTTGCCGCCGCCGTAGGTGGACGACAGGCTGCCAAGCATGTCGCCGCCGATGCTGATGCGATCCATCGCATCCGAGAGGACAGAAGCAGTGTTGTCATCCTCCGCCCCCGACTGCTGACTGACAGCTACTTCAGCTTGCCGAAGAGCCTCGATGCGCGCGAGGCAGCCCGCGGCGCGCTGGTACAGGCCGATGCAGAGTTTGTGGAACCGCAGCAGCTCGCCCTCGTACACGTGGGACTCGCTGGCCGAGTGCGGGTGTGCCTCTGCCCAGAGCTTGACGAGTGCGGCAAAGTTACGGCCTTGGTCGATCAGGTAAGGCAGCGAAGGGAACCCTTCGCGCGCCATTGGCGACAGACGGCCGAGGATGGTGATGGGCGTGGAGTACGGCGCCGGCAGTGGAGCTTCGGTCCGCTCTGCTGGGATGGCACACACGGTGTCGAGGAAGTCTTTAAAGGCCTGGCGTTGGGTGGTGAGGAACTTGTTCATGGGCTCCATCCACGTCTCCTTCTTGCCGATGCTCGACAGGTTGGCGAGGGCCTGCAAGGATTTAGCGATGAGGGTCAGGGTACGCTGGGCGCGAGGGCGCGGATGGTCGTGTAGGAGGCCGAATAGCTTCGGGTTTAGAATGGCCGGACAAAGGAAGCGGAGGAAGAGGAAGCCCGAGACAGATGTGTATGTGACGGTCCGGAGGAAGTCGCCGTAGCGATCTTCGGCTACAGCCCTGATATACTTGAGGATGTGCCTCAGCTCAGAAGGCAGACGAGTCGCCGATGACGCGATGCAGTTCCATACGTCGGTGGTAAAGTGGATGAGATGGTTCCAGTGTTGTTGAAGGTCCTCGCCGTGGTGCAACTTGCTCGGGTCCACTTCGCAACTGCGGTCGCTCTCGTTGATCTCCAATATTTTCTCCGCCAATGTCTCGCTCAGATACTCGCGGCCCAGACGGCGCATGTGATACTCCAAGGCCTGGGTCAGTAGAGAGTTGCCCCTGAACAGGAGATTGGCCTCGCCCTGAAGCGATTTTCCCAAGTCGCGCACAATCTGCTCTCGGTCAACGTTGGATTCAATCGAGTCATTGGACTTAAGCCGCGCGCTGAACCTCGGTTTTTTCAGCGGTGCTTGGTTCCCAATGCCGTCAATCTCTTCCTCAACCATATTCATGAGCCATTCGTTTGCACTTCCTGAAACCTGGAAGATGTTGACAAATATCTCGGCGAGCCGGCGCAGGCTCCCGGGCAATGCCTCGGTAATCTGACTAATAAGTCCGGAACTGAAACGGTGCAAGAGCTCCGAAAGCGGCTGATAGTTTTGCTGTAGAAGAACCACGAGCTCCTCGTGGTGGACTTTGAGAAGCATGGAGCCAATGGATTGCTGCCTGTCATCGCATATTTGAAGCCACTGTTCGTGATCCTTTCCGCAGTCCAGATGATGCAGAGGTATGTCGACAGAACCGCACAGAACTTCTGTCATGTTGTTAGTCCTGGCCAATCCCAGTGTCACCTGGATATGGTGCGCGAAGCTCTCCATGGTGCCGTCAACCCTCTTTAGAAGGACTGAGAGGTAGGGTAGGGACGCGGGGAGGTCCGTGAAGACGCAATCCTCGCGCCAGAACGGGTTCTTGGTGTCCGTTTTGGTGGTCGTCCTTGCACGGACTTCTCCGTCAAGAATCACTTCGGCGAGGTAGTTGCCGGTTAACGATTCCATGTCTGACCCCTTGGTATGGCGGTCTCCTTGGGGTCCTTCTCCGGCCCAGGCCCTGCTGCGCAGTTTGGCCTCAGTGATCCTGACGGATATTGTTTTTTCCACCCTAAACGTCTCTCCCACAGGCTTCTCTTGGAAATCCGTCACCTCGCACACAGCTCCCCCTCTTGCCGGGTCGAGAGTGTACACATCCGGTATGGTGAATGCGCGCAACAGGACAAACCAAACCTCGAATAGAACTCTAGTCTCCAAGGCTATGTAGACTGGCCTGAAGATGGACAGCTGGGTTGAAGTGGAGGCATAAGAGGGGAAGATGGCGAGGCAGTAGTCTTCATCCAGCACGGACCTGTCGAGCTGCTGAATGGCGGATCTCGCGAGTTGGGACAGTTCTATGACGGAGAGCACCGTCACGTCGTTTTCCGTCATAACCTTGAGCTCGCCGTTATCGTGGAGGATGCAAGAGACCCTCCTCCAGCAGGTCTGCGAAGACCGTAAGTCGCGCGTCGAAGGCCGCCTGACGATGGCGCGAGGTGAGACAGCTGCGCCCTTGTCCCAGAGCATGACCTTGCCGACCTTGATGATGGCTGGTTCCCGAATGTTTGGCGACGATACGCGACGCTTCATCTCTATCCTTGCCGGCGCGCCGACGTAGGGATTGACAGGACGCATATTTTGAGATCTCGCACCAGGTGGTCGCAACTGCTGCCAACAGAGCAAAGCCGCCAGCCAGAGTTCAAGCTCCTCATGCACAAGGGGCCGCAGGAACAGCGCCACGCCTAGATGGGGGCTAGCGACTTCGAGGCATTGCATGTCCGTGTGCTGGTGTCCGACCGGGGCCACCCGACACCCCCGAAGGTCGGCGAGCAGGATGGTGTGAAAGGGACCGCTGTCGCCGGGGTCAAACATCAGATGCCCCCTCTCCTCGTCGATATAGCACATGCCGCTCACCCACGGCCCGTCCACGTCCTTCTGGTACTCGACTTCACCGCGCATTCTCCCACACAGATTTTTCATGAGGAGCAAGACCTTGTTTGCGTCCGTGGTCGGGATCGGGAGGGGAAGCGAATCAACCGACGGCGGCAGAGAAGATAGGGGTGAACTGGGGCGGGATGACGGCCGCTTGGTTAAACGACTCCTGGCACCGGACGACTTCCTGTCCTTGGGCAATGACGTGGCAGGAGGCGGTTGCAGATCGGCTTGCCTGTACGGCTCGAACGGAGGCTGGTGGAAAGACGGCAGTTTCATGTCGTCGGAAACCGTGACAGAGGCGGCGGACGAGAAGGAGCCTATCCTGTTGCGCGCCTCGCTGGCTGGGGCGAGCTGCTGGCGGAAGGCACCGTCCATGGTGTGAGTTCTCGGGCGGAAAGAGGCCGGCCGCGGAGGAGGGCTGGATGAAGTGCCGTCGAAAGAAGCAGAAAAGGAGTCGTTGAACACGACGCCCTGGCGTCTGGCCGATGGCAGGTTGGCAGAGGCGGTGGGAATGGACCTCGGCGAAGTCTGTGGTGATGAAGAACCACGACCGCGGGGCACCTGTGGAACAGTACTGGCAGGCCCGTCCATCCCCTTGCGCGGTATGGCGTCGGGCGGGTCAGGTGTTACTGACCTCACCGTCTGCCGGAAGGCGGTCCGAAGGTTGCTGGCCGAGGGTCTCTCTGTGCTCCGCGGCGACGGGACTTCAGAGAGTGGAGGGAGCACCGAGTGTCGCGCCGGCCGCTCGGGCAGAGGAGGGGCGGCGGCGCCATGGGGATTAGTCCCCAGGGTGTAAGAGCTCCCATCCATTGCAACGGAGAAGTTATTTGACGAGTTCCGCTCTCTTGACACGCGTCAAGGCCAGAGGGGTAATGCGCGGTGGGCGGAACGACGATGGCCCCAAGAGAGAGAGTCGAAACCAATAGGACGGCACATATGCGCGCGGCCGAGTCCGCGACCCTTGTCTCCTGCTGTCCTCTCTGTTGTCTGGCCCAGCTGATCACGACCACAATCCCTCTCGATTGTCCAATGTCATGCACAACCACCACAGCGCAACCATAGCAAGCACGAATCGGAGTAGTAGGTCGAAGAGGTGAGCGAGAGAGTCGGGCTTCAGCCGAGGTTGGGAGGGCGGTCGTGTAGCGAGATGATGTCGTCGTGGCTACACTAGAACACTCGTGCAATTACGCGAGGACAACACTTTGCCAGATGGAATCAATCGGTCGCTATCTCGTTGCCGGCGATTTGCGAAGCTAGAGAGAGAAGGCTATCGGACGTTTGGGCTGGATCGCGACGGCGTTGAAGCTCGCATCATCCGGGTACTTAGAGGTGGTGAGGTGGTGATGGCCGGATCAACGGGAGGGCCAACGGGAGGACCAACCGGATGGCGAGCGTGGCGGGCTCCGTCGCAAACCCTCGTTCCAGGATGGAGATGGCCAAGGGCAGGCTGTGAGGGATGGTCGATGACCTTGCCGCCGCTAACCTAAGCAGGCAGTTACTAGCGGCTAACAATTATCATTATTACATAACTGTTCTAAAACTGACCCTGGCTCGGGCCTGCGAACAGTGACGGACCGAAAGAGGGAGCTTAAAGTACGGAGCAGTGGAGTTGCTGGCCCCACACACAGAAGTGTCTCCCGACCGATCTGCGGTCTGTGCGGGCGTCGATTCTTTGAGAGCTGGAGCAAACCAGAAGCGATTTCCGCGACACAACTGCCCGCGTTTTACATTCTGGAATCAGCTCGACTGGGTTACACGGCGTCTCGACTGCATGCAAGCCTTCGGTGTGGGAAGTGCTCTGGAAGACTGGATTCTTCTCCGGAACCACATCGCATCACCGAGATCGACGCTAAAGGCAAGTTTGCGGGGTCACGGGGTGCTACACCAGGGTGCCCTGGCCCGGGAAAACCCGCCAAGACTGCGTCGGGTACCTGACGGAGAAGCAATCAAGCGGGTGACTTGAGCTTCTCATTCCTGTCATCCCCATTATCTAACTGGACCCATTCTCGAAGTTCTATTCAGCCGCCAGGTGTTCTTTCAAGTGCTTAATTTTCCCCAATTGAAGATTTATAATATTCCTCAACTGAAGATTTATGATTTTCCTCAATTGAAGATTTATAATTTAAAGTTTAATCCAACATGTCCCGATTCTGTCTTCACACTCTGTAACAAACATGCCCATCTCGGCTTATTAAAAGCCTTCTCCCGCGAGGATGGTCCTCCCACCGCCATACCACAGAGTTCCACACCGGGCCTCGAGTCCCCGTTCCTTGCCAACCATCCATTCACCGAGAAACTCGCCGTCCTTGACGTCCCAGACCTCGTCCTCAAGCCACTTGTTGATGTCTTCGATGGTCCGGATCCACCGCTCTCGCTGCTCTGGTGTCTCGTGGTCTTTCTGCGTGAGAAAGCGTCCAATGGTGATATGCGCACTGGGAACCACGTATCGCGAAGCAATGGCCACTTTTTCTGACGCCATGGTGAAGACGTCTCGCCGCAGGTGGTGGTACGTGTATGCGTCGGGGTCTTCTGCCGTGCTCTGATCGGGCTGTCCGTTCTGCCCGTTCTGCCCAACATGATCCGAAGATAGCGGCGCTGGAGGCGGCGACAGCACTTCCTCACCCGATGCCGGCAGAAACGAGACGGCCACGGCAGACAGGTCGTACGAGATCATGGGCTTGACGAGCCGTGAGCGCCTCGCGAACGTCAACCCGGCCATAGCAGGGAGTGCCGGCCGCAATGCTGACACCAAACTTGCGATCTCCTCAGCCGTCCGCGAGTGAGCCACTTCTAGGGTCGTCAAGTGCAAGCGGTGTGCAGGCATGAGCCAAAGGCCTAGCCGGCGGATGGTTCAGCAAAGGTGTAATGATACTTTTGGCACACGACCAGGAGGAATAGGCTTACCAGGTGCCGCTTTTGCCAGGAGAGTCTGCAGATGAGAGGCCAGCCTCACAATATGGTCCGGCGGTCTCGCCCAGAACACGAGGCAGTTTCTGGGGTCTTTAAACCCAGGTTCGATGTCGGGATTCTCCAACCGCAGCAGGATGGGGTCAATACTGAGCCCCTTGAACTCTGGAGTCAGGAAATTTCCCCGCTGTTGCGCATTCCTGGTGGCCCGATGCGTGGCATACCGGGCTTGCATCTCGGCCTGCGGGTCCTTCCTGTTAGCTTCCTCTCGGCATCCCACACCGCATGAAAAATCCCGGAGCTCCGCGTCACCCCTCCGCCCGGGCCCTCCGCCCGGAATTTTTATGGAACATCATCTTCTCGAGGAGAGGAGGATGGCTTACCGCAGAGCCATGGCAGGCGTTGATGAGGGCGTCATACGGGTTGTCTCCCGGCTTGATCTCCAAGCCGGAAAGATCCTCAAACTTGGGTGCGTCTTCTGTCAGAGGAAACACTGAGCCAGGCGCCATCTTAATTTCTCTTCCGTTTGTTTATCCTGCCCAGGTTGCCAGGTAACGGAGCATTCCCTCCTTTTTTCTGACGCCAGGCACAGCCAAGTTTGAAGCCTCAAAGCACGCGTGAGCGATGAGTTTTCTGTCGTTGTTTCACAAGTTGGAAATGGGGAAAGAGGAATGCCAACCGTCAGACAGGAGCAAGCAACTTATGAGCCAATCGAGGGATTTCTTGGACCTCGTGTTTGAGCTTGCGGTGAAGGAAGGTCTACTCGTCGGGGCTCCCAAATTGGGTAGTTCCGACAAAGTTCCTTACCGCCACAGCCGACGTTCACGCTCAGCCACAGGAAGCGGTCTTGGCAGCCAATTTCAACGTCCCTTGAGGCGTCGACTCCCTCTCTCGAGTCATTGGAGGATTTCCCGCCTGGCCTCGAGCTGCCATCATCATCAACAATCATCCCGTCCAATCTGGTCTCCTGGCTTGGCGAGCGGTTTCCTCTGTCGGCATTGACCTGGTCAGTATCCCAAGACAACGAAACGCGCTGTCCATGACCGCCAGGACAATGTCACGGCCGCATTCTGGACAGCAGCCAGGTCCCGCCCGGAGCTATGGGTCCCATTGTCTGCGTTGTCCGGCATTTGGGATGTCGGTGATCACCAGTGGGTGGTTCATGCTGTCAGAAAACCCACTGTTCTTTGCTCGCTCCTGGGTAGTCAAAGAGTCCAGCAGTTCTAACCCCAATGGGGCCATCAGCTCTTTATCGCACAGAAGACTTAAAAAGGGCGCCACTTCAACATGCACGGTGCGGACGGAACTACAGCTAGCGCAACGGCCTGGGCAACAGCCAGGACAACGACTAGGCCCCTGAGCCTTAGATCCCCTTAACTCTGTTGTCCACATTGGGTCGGCGCAGTCCTCACACGGTGGACTTGGGTTTCGGCAACCACCAGTATGCCATGCCGACACCACATCATACAATCGTCTGATATTTTTTCAGTTACCCTGCCCAATTCCTCCAGCAATCGCTTTTTTCAAAAGAAGTTATTCCTGCACAACCTGAGAGCACCTCACTGTCACAGGCAAGCAGCATCAAACATCTGCGTCACTCCTGGCTGTCTTTGGTACCCTTAGCCATCGCTCTTTGCTCTATAATACTGTACTTCGGCGACACAAAGCCAGACTGATCAAACAATCTACCCCTTCCTTGGTTGTCTGAGCCTTCAAGACCATCGAGCACCTCGCCCGCCTTCGGGTGTCATCAGGTAAGGATCGCTTGATCGGCTGGTTTGTAGTATGACCCGATTGACATTGACCAAGACATGGCCGCCACCAAGAGATCGTCGTCACGGTCTCGCGCTGCCACTCGCAAGCGCAAGCGCTCGGCAAAGCGGCGCGACTCAACTTCGAGCCAAGGTGGTCATGACCAAGAGCATCTGCCGCCCTCAGCCAAGAGAAAGAGAACCTCCCGTGCAAATCCCTCCGCGGCCTCCTCTGCTGACGCGGACTCCTGCGGCCCCAGTGCCACTGAGCCCATGGATGTCGATGAGACGTTAAATGATGTGTTGTTCGTCGATGAGACTCCCGTTAGTGAGGTTCCTGTCGATGAGAGTACTGCCGGCGAGACGTCCAGTGACATAAGCGACAAGTCCAACAAGAAGACCAAGCAGCGTGCAATCAATACCAATTTGCCGCCTGTCTCCGATCCCCGCGAGATGTTCGTGGAGATGATCAAACGCCTCGACCCGGCTACGCTGAAAGAGTATCCCCTCAAACTGAAGGTGGCGACCATCTGCTCTGGTACTGACGCTCCCATCTTTGCCTTGCATCTCATCCTGGATGCCTTGGAGACGGCGGGGTTCGGGCCTGGCTTTGATTTAAAACATGTTTTCAGCTGCGAGATTGAACCCTACAAGCAAGGCTTCATTCGGCGCAACCTTCCGCCCGGCACCCTCATCTTCCGCGATGTTATCGAGTTGGCCAGCGTGAGCCCCGACGGCAAAGCGTACGTCTTTTCCCAGCATCCGAACCGATGGAACAATCTCGGGCAGCTAACAATGGGCTAGCACGACTGCTGGTGGTTCCAGAGCCGCGATCCCAGCAGCGCACCCGGACATCCTCTTCGCCGGCTGTTCCTGTGTCGATTATTCCAACTTGAATAACAAGAAGCCGGCTGGGAGTGTGCCAGCCCTCGACCATTACCTGAAACCGGACAAGAAGGAGAAGAAGAATGGGTCAAAGAAGAAAGGGTCAAAGAGGAAAGGTGCCGTTGAGACTGACGAAGACCCGCCGTCGCCCGTTAAGCTCGACCAAAGCTTTGTTAATGTCCTCCTCGAGGGCATCCAGGAGCTTCTGGCTCTTGGAAAGGGCGAGTCGGCAACAACCTTCTTTGCCGCCTTGAAGCTGATAGCGGACTTGCGGCCAAAGTTCGTCATTTTGGAGAATGTCGTCAGTGCTCCTTGGGACATGAAGACAAAGCATGCCTTCCCCAAGATTGGGTACGTGGCCCGCGTTAAAAAGGTGGACAGCAAGGAGTACTACTTGCCCCAGACCCGCCAGCGATGCTACTTGGTGGCCGTCGATGCTTCCGAAATTGGCGAGAAAGCGGCAGCTGCAATTACCGACGCGTGGATCCTCCACCTCGACAAGTGCAAGCGTGCGCCCTCGTCCTCAATTTCGGCCTTTCTCCGCCCTGCCGACGACCCGGCCACGCTCCAAGCCCGGGCCGACATGTCAAGGAAGGGCACGACCAATGCCGAGTGGTCTCTTTGCTCACTCCGGCATGCTGACCAGCGCGAGAAGATTGGCCTGCGGCGCGACGACAATCTCTTCAGCAAGAAGGCCATGCGCAACGGCCGGCTCATTTCGGCCAGCTTCCCCGCCCATGCGTGGCCCTCATTCTGGCAGTCCCAAGTCACTCGAGTCATCGACTTGATGGACATTATCTTCGCCAGCGCCCACAAGCAAAAATTCGATTTGGGCTACAAGACCGCCATGGTCGACGTGAGCCAGAACGTCGACCGCAACGCCCTGCTCGTCACGACCAAGACAGGGCTGGCAAGTAAGCTGGGCATTGTCGGCTGCATCACACCGAGCGGGATGCCCGTCGTCACCGACCTGATGCGCCCCATCACCGGAACGGAGACCCTCGCGTTGCAGGGTCTTCCCGTCGATGAACTGGTCATCTCCACCGAGACCCAGGCTCAGCTCCGAGATCTGGCAGGCAACGCCATGACTGTCACCGTCGTCGGCGCCGTGACCCTGGCCCTTCTCCTCGCTGCGTTTAAGAATAATACAGTCGAGAAGTTGCTCGAGCCGCTTGGACCAGAACCGCCCAGTCGCGGTGAGTACCTGGAAATCACACAGGACAAATCTCTGACGACAACTCGCCTGGTTGCTGATGACTTCCCTGTCCTTGAAGAGCTCCTGGCCATCGCAGATGGAATGGTGCGCCGATGCTACTGCTCCACGCGGCCTGGTGAGGTCGTCGTCTGCGATAACTGCGGCATCACGGCCTGCTCCGGCTGTCGTGGAAACCCGGAGCACAATTTCGGCACCAAGAAGCCAATACGCCGCAAATTATCTACTGAGCAGGGCAAGGTCAACCTCAAGAAACTCGTGCCCGCAGTCATCAAGCTGCCCATCCCGGCTGAGGCCGTTCGGCAGGGGCTTGGAAACGTCAATGACAAGGATTACCGCTCCGTCGTCACCTGCATTCTGGAATCGAACAATGACTACTACTTCGACGACATCAAAGTCACCGAGACCGTGACTGTCTGCTACAAGCGCGCCGACAGTATTGCTCGCCTTGTCCTCTCCCCAGAGCCAGGCTCGGTTTCCTACTGGTACATCTACGTGGCACCCTGGCACCCAAATCGCCCTAGACTCTCGGCCACATTCGACTTTGAGCAGCCCATCGCGCGGGGGCAGGTTTCTGCGAGATACTATGATAGCTCTCAGTGGTCTGTGTGGACCCATGGTCGTGTCCGCCTTACACTGCGCTTGGCCAGGAATGAAGCCGGTGCACTGGTTGCTGGCAATCTGGCCTTTGCGGGCGACAGCAATGCTCAGTCTAATCCGACCCTGATGGCCTGGAAGAGGTTTGTCGAGGAGAAGTTGCGCGGGACATACGTCCACCTTCCCGACTGTGGCACGGCAGGAAATGCGCTGCATATCAAGGCGACATCTTGCCCTGCTTCCCCCGTCTTCATGATGTGGGACTCGGCACCCCTCCGCAATGCCGATGAAGACCACTTCGTGTGGACTCAGACTGTGAGGAGAATGGAACCCCATGAGCATCGTGAAACTTTGCTCTGCGCTTCACCGGCGCTTTCCTGGGACCTCAAATCCCCCGAACTGGGATCGGTGGACGCCTTCTGGCCCGGATACTGGTCCAGTCCTGATCCGTATCCGAATGATTCGGAGCCCAAAACGACAGAAGTCGAAGAGAACGCCGCCCAGCTCCGCTGGGGCTCGACCGAGGCCATTCGCACCGCGTATTGCCACAAGGCAGGTCGTGTTGTTAAGCCAATGCCCATCTTTGCCGCCGTCACAGCGCCTTTTCCCAACTTCCCCGTGCCGGCGGCACTGCTCTCCAGGATCGACAGCCTCCAATCCGGCAGCAACATGTTCTACGTCATTCCCCCCGCCCAGTGTGATGCTTTTCTGAAGCTGTTTGCTTTTCTCTCTCGCGAGTTCCGAGGAGCGAGAATGCCACTCAATCTCGCTGATTTTCCACACCTCGAGGGCAAATGGGTCGCAGTTGAACACTGCGAAACGTGTTCTGTGACTCCGCCTCAGATCACCGTCTACACCAAGAAAGACGGGAAGAAGGCGTCGGAGGAAGAGGGAAAGGGCGTAAAGGCCATCATCGAGGACCCGGACGAAGCTGCGCTGTTCGAAAGGCAGTACCAAGACCTTCCCAGGGCGGTGGCAGTTGCTGCCCGTCTCATGCATGACATCGATGGCGCAAGGACAATGGATATCATGCTCATGTTGCAGCCCAAGACCCTCGGGTCTCGAGCGCGCGGATACCTGCTGCAGGCACACCGCGCTCCGGGCCGTGGTTGGCAAGACGTGTGTTCCCAGGCAGAGACATCCTTTAAAGTGGTACTCGACTATGCGCCCTCCTCAGTTACGGAATTTGCACCATTCAGCGACTCCGTCCGCCCCTGCGCTAAGGACCATACGGCTGGCATCAACCCCGACATCAAGTGCGAGTTGCCGTCCCGGGGACCTCCTCGGTTCACCCGCACGGACACCGTCGGAAGGGGAAAGAAGGCGACGAAAAGGAAGGTGGAGCACAAGCTCAGGTCGAGTCAGGAGGAGGCTGTCAAGTGGATGATGCAACGCGAGCGCGCGTCCTTCGACTTCGTTAAGTTCGAAATCGAGGAGGAGGTGGTTGCGCCGCTCAATCTCCGCGTGGTCGGCAAGGCCGAATGGCCGAGTCGCTTTCCATTCAGCTCCCGTGGCGGCGTCATGGCCCACGAGGTCGGCTATGGAAAAACCGTCGTCACGCTCGCCCTGCTGGATTGCATGCGTGGCTTTGACACAGGCCAGTCCATCACTGAGCGCCAGGAGAAAGTTGATGACGCCTGGGCAAAAGAGCTGTCTGAGTCTTTTGAGCATTTAGAGGACGTCGGCCTCAAACCCGAGTCCTTTTTCGTCCATCTATCCGCCACTCTCATCATTGTTCCCAAGCACATCACGACGCAGTGGGAGAAGGAGGCGGAGAACTTCCTCGGGCTGAAATCGCCGCAATTGCTCGTCATCAAGAGCCCCGCTAGCTTTTGCAGGCGAGACATGCTCCAGAGCCTGCAGCAAGCCGAGATCATCATCGTCAGCAGCGCAGCGTTTTCTTCTTCGTTCCTGGAGCAGCTGGTGGGGATTGCTGGAAGCTCCCGTGATGGCCTCGGTGGGAGGACGCTGGAGGCCTGGTACCGCCGCGCGTTGCGCAACTACAGAATTCTGACTGCCTACTTTCTTGCCGGCCGTGCTGCTGGCATCCCTGATCAGAATCTCGTGCAAGAGATGACGGGGAATCTGTTGACAAAGCTGGTCGAGAAGCAGCGAGCTGAGATCGACGCGCTGGTTGAGAAGCAGGTGCCCGAGATCGACCGTAGCTACTACAAGAAGCCCAGGACCAATGCCAAGACAAAGGCCAAGGGCAAGCAGAAAGACGATGAGGATCAAACTGCCGACCAAGAGGCTGAGGCTCAGTCTGCTAATCAGGAGGCCGACAGCGAAACCGCCGTGCAAGAGGCCGACGGTCAAACTGCCGATCAGGAGGCCAAGGGCAAGGGCAAGGGGAAGGGGAAGACAGAGGAAAAGGACACCAATGGATGGCAAGTGAACTGGATCCACGCTTGCAGCTTTTCCCGCGTCATCTGGGACGAATGCTCCTATGACGACATAACCATTGCCCTCTTCGTTGCCAATGCCGTGGCCAACGCCAAGTGGCTGATCTCGGGTACACCCAAGGTCTCCGACCTGGAGCACGTCTGCAACATTGGCTCAGCCTTTGGCGTTCACGTTGCGCGGCCCGAACCACGCATCATGCCCGGTCTGCCCGCGCTGACAAATGGACCCGAGCTGAGTCCGATGTCTCGCAGCGAAGAGTTCCACGTATACTCTTCCGGCGTGAAGTCGGTAACTCTCGCTCTCGAGAGGCACAACATCGCCCAGACGTTTGTTGCTGCATACTTCCGCGCCAACCCCCTCGAAGAGGTCAACATCGAGTCCGAAGAGCATGTCCGGGCCGTCGTCATGTCGGCCGCGGACTTTGTCCGGTACCACATGCTCAACCAGGAGGTCATCAACGCTGGGTACGACTACGCGGCCCTTCCTGCTCATGCCCGCTCTCAAGTGGCGCTGAAGGGCAGCGACTTGACGTGCAGGGGTGGATCCGCCCAGGCCAAGATGATGCTGGGTCTGGTTGCCTGCGGCCTTGGTCAGGGTCGAGGCTCGATGGATGACCTTGAGAAGGAGCTTGCACGCCGAAGCGAGGAGCTTGCCAAGCAGATGAAGTGGCTCTGGGACAAGGCCATGTGGCTTCATCGCTGGATCCGGGATCTCGAGAAGGAGCTCGACAAGAAGTCCAAAGACAACAGGGATATTTCGCCCATTCTAGATACGTTGGCTCGCGTCGAGATCATGTGCGAGTGTCTGATCAAGCCGGTGAAGTCGGCAAGGGAGGGGCATTTCGAGGAGTTTGGCGGCGAGGAAATGTTCCTTCGCGAGATGGCAATTGTGGCCGGCCTCCCAAGTAGCCGTTCGTCAGACGTCGCCTTTCTCCGAAAAATGTGGGAAGCGCACTTTGGGAGAGAATGGGCGGATCACTACCACAAGGACAAGGCGCTGCACACTTGGCTGGATTTTTTCAAGGTTAGCCGATCCAGCACCGTCAAAGATCTGTCCGAGAAGCAGCTCCGCCTCATGGCCAAGGACATTTGCTGGCTCCGGTACAAGATCGACCCCAATGCGGCACCCCTTTCCAATATCCGGTCAGGCTGGGACCTAGCCCGGGCTGTGCTGGTCCCGAGTATCCGAGGTGGTCCACGAAGGCCCATTCCGGAAGGTATCGAGGATTGCATCGCGAACGACAAGCTGATACTGAGCAGCCTCAACGGGAAGGAACTGGGGGATTTCTTCTTGGCATGCATTGCAACGCAGCCGGACATCCCAACCTGGGATAACGCCGCCAAGAAGTCGTTCGACCCCTTCAAAAACACTGACCACGACGGCAAGCCCAAAAAAGCCGCCCTCCTGGACCGAGCCGCGGAGCTGAACCTTAAAACTCCGAACCAGAGCATCGAAAAGCTCAAGGAGATGCTCTGGCGGCACGAGCATGGCCTCAGCACGTCTGACAATTACCGCGATGGCCGAGCCGCGCCTGTCCGGCATCGGGACTTTGAGTCGGCGTTGGGTTGTAGCCATCCCAAGATTGACAAGAAGATGGAGACTGCCAACGAGGAGCTGAAGCGGACGCTGGTGCATCTCGCCAAGACGGTCGAGGATCTGAGAGCGACGGCCCTGGAGGCCAACTTCGTGCGCGACTACGCCGCGCTGGCGAATGCAAAAGATAAGGATTGCTTCGTGGCCAAGAAGGCGTGCCGTGGGTGCCACAAGCTGCTCACGTCGGCGTCCGGGTCATTCCTGGTGGTGGCCTGCGGACACTTCCTGTGCGGCGGATGCAGGACCACCGCGGGCTTCTACTGCCCCGTCAAAGATTGCCCAGCCTTCATCCGCGAGCGGCCGGTTCTTCGCTGCTCGCTGGTGCCGTGGGCCATGAGCAAGGAACAGTTCGCAAAGGCCGAGTGCGTTGCAGACCTGATCAAGAAGGAGATCCCCGGCGACGAATACGTGCTCGTCTTTGCGCAATACGGCCCGCTCATCGACTCCCTGGCGCGTGCCTTCACCAAAGCTACACTCTCCTTCGTCAACCTGGCAGCCGAGAGTGACAACAGGATCGCCGACAAGCTCGAGGCCTTCAAGGACAAGAAAGCCGGACAGATTCTGTTGCTTGACATCGACAGCGAGACCAGCGCGGGTAGCAACCTGACCAATGCCAACCACGTCATCTTTGCGAATCCGTACGTGCATCCCGACGAAGAGCACCGGGCCAGAACGGTGAAGCAGGCCAAGGGCAGGTGCATCCGCACTGGGCAGGAAAAGAAGGTGCATGTGTACCATTTCATGGTCTCGGGGACGATCGAGGAAGAGACGCTGCGCGGTTTGGCTAGGGATAACCCGGCGGTGGAGAACTTCTTTCAGCAGTCGGAGGAGGTTCCGTGGTGGTTGGATGGGAAGGAGTGAGCAGCACTGGGCCGAGGGATGGGGGTTGGGTGTAGGGATGTTAAATGTATCTATTTCGAGCTTGGCGGTGGCGGTACCGAGGAGTGGGATGCCCAGCCACATGAGTCCAAAGCGGGAGGAGTCAACGAGGGGACCAGGACGGTCGTGAGTGTACAGGTCATGTTTCTTGAGCTTGGCGGTGGGGAATTCGAGGGATTGGGAAATGCTGCAAGCAGCAGCTTCAAGCTTGGGATACCTCACCATATGAGTCCAGATCGGAAAGGATCATAGCTGTTCATGCGCTTATCTGCAATTCTCTGGTTTGCTGGTGGCTGTCAATGATAGAAGTCATATCTCGTTTTGCCGAGAGGGCGAATTCGCGTTCAGCAGAGGATGCCATCTCACAGTCCCACAGTCCATGGAGAAAAGCTCAAGCTGAATGTGTGCCCAGGCAGGAATGGGCAAGACAGAGGCTCAGCCAGCATTACCAAGCGGCATCGTATAACACGCGTTCTCTGACAGACGGCGATGGCAGGATATCTCACGTGGCACATTCGGGTCGACGAGGCCACCGGCATGCGGATGAAAACCCACACATGTTTAAAGCTTAGCCATCCTCAAACCCATCGGCACCAGCTTCACTGAAACATGTCGTCTTTCCCCAGGGCCGTCCCCCAACCTTGGCCCCGGCCCTGCGATATCTGTCAACTCCACCTCCTGGCAATCCTCCAGCGCGACGCCATTGGCAAACTGCACCACGACAAAATCCATCGCTTCCGTTCCCTTCTCGCCCAGAGCCACCATGGGCGCATGCCACGTCCCAGCGCCGTAGGTAACGGCCTGCGTGGCGGTTGCCACAAACGCGCGGAGGCGGCGCAGGTCGGGCTTACCGCTACCCGGCAGTGGGCGGAAGTAGCTCGACGAGGGGGGGGAACTGGCTGGGACCGGCAGGGTTGTCTCTTTCTCGTTGCTTGAGGAGGGAGTAGGAGGAGAGAGAGGGAGGCTAGGTGCTACGATGACGAGATAGCGGTTGTTGGGGTTTGCGGTGAAGGGGATAAAGGTTTGGGTTGTGAAGGGGTGGCGTTCGAGTATTGTGACGGGGAAGGCTGATGGGAGGGGCTCCAAGTCGGTGGTTCCGGCCGGGATCGGCGCGGGAGTCTGAATCGGAGCCGTAGCCGGGAGTAGGTCGGGAATGCGGGCGCGGGCGGCACACCTAAAGATGCTCATAATAGCGGCCCCAGGGCGGCGGCTGGGAGCCTGGTCATAGAGGTTTAGTTGGCGCGAGACATGTTGGAATTTGATGGCTGAGCCTTGGTTCGCGGATACCCCGTTGCATGGTAGCGGTTGTGATGACTTTGCGATTGAAGAGGGGTGCACGCCGGGTTGCGGATTTTCAATCACATCCCCAAAGGGAGCAAATGCTTCGCGTGTGAGGCGAGCTGCGTGTATTACAATGTCCCGATTGGCAGGTCTTGTATCGGATGGCTGCATTTCGGAAGTATGTTGAAGCCGATGAGAGATTACGAGCAAGAGAAGGAAGAAGTGTAATCCGTATTTGGAGGTGGTGGATCCTTTGCCTGAAACGGGGTTCCTTACGATTTCGGTGAATGTATTTCCGTACTCCGTACAGAGGACACCATCCAATTCACAACCAGCTCTTCGGAAGGCACGCATCATTTAAATCTCGAGGAAAGCATCCATGAAAGAATATCGAGCTGTGATCTCTTTAAATGATACAATCCCAGTTCCCAGGATTTTGTCCCCCGGACATCACCCGCAACGGACTGCAATAAGCCGGCGCAACCCGACCTCCAGTGATGAGGCCCTGGCCCAAGACAGGACATGCTGCTTCCGCCTCCATCCACATTCGCCTGTGATCGCCATCGAAGGGCAAGCAGTTGCACTGGACGGTGAGGTCCAGTGTCGGTGATGTCGATGAGGGAAGGAACGTCCTCTTACAGTGGAAGGCACGAAGTCCTATAACTCCACCCCCCACCCCCTCGTTTCCTGTCCTCCACCAATCTCTTTCACCTTCCCGAAAGTCCAACACCGCGGGTTAGACTCCTGCACCATGAGATACCCTTGTGATGAGCGCCGTGCCCTCGAATTGTCTCAGAGACACGGGATGGCCTTCCTCGCCCATCCGCCGGGTGGTACCGGGAACGGATACAGAGGATGCCATCGTCAGGTCTGTACCGAAGGATAGATTGTCTGTACTTGTATTGACTTTCTAGCATCGTTCTCCTTACCGTATAAGGTAGGTATCCAAAGCACAGAAATGGGGGACGCAGGATTCGGCGCCGGCCGGCTCGCAGTGAAGGGACGGACAGACCCATTCGCTATCGGGTTGCACACTGAGCCCTCTTCTTCCTTGACGCCTTCCAGCCGTATCCCATGACCGTAGCCTTCACACAGAGCTCGCCAGAGCATTGCATGCCGCAACCCCACTGGGTGCCCAAAGAGGCTGAGCGCCAGCCCTTAGGAGGAGCAGCACACGATGGGTCCTGCGGTCCTAATCAAACTGCTCACGCTCTGCCCAATTCCATGCACGGTCCGTAGTACGCTGGGGCGGGTTCGACTTCAGAACGGCATCGCGCATTGAAGGACCAGGAACAGGCGGTGCGTCAAGATCCAACCCTGTGTCTTCGCTCGCCAGGAGTCTGAAAGCCATGAGCACCGGTTTCGCCCTAACTCCAATCCCATCTCCGAACGCGAGGCCGAAGTCTGCGTTCTAAGTCAGCGGGGAATGTCGCGAGAATAGCCACAGATTTCTCAAGACACAGCTCCTCGAGGCACAACCATACGTCAAGATAGCCGCCAGGAGAGCAGGGCGGAGACGAAATTCGGGGTAGCATGGAAAAGCGCTTGAAGAAGTCGATATTGAGGAAACAGGAGAGAGACCGAGATAACTTCCTGCCAGATCCGACAGCACACCTCCCAAGATAGGCCGATCCGTTTTATGTTGTTATTAGAAGAAACTACACACCCTGAGTGTGACATGGATAAAAAGGAACAAGAAAATCACATACAACACCGGGGATTCGCTGGTCGTCACCGACCCAACTACTGATCCGGCCCTTGGTAGGTTATCTAGGGGAGAGCGGACGGGATCCCGAGTTTGCTACCAGGTATGGTCGTATGTACTAGGGCTTTTCTAGCATCAGATTATGAGCAAGAATCAGAATACTCTGACTTTGTGTTGTGTTTGGAGATTGTGCAACCTCCACTTGTCAACACAACCCCAGGTTCAGCGCCCCAAGAGCAACGTGACTCTGCATTACAAATCACAAAGAGCACCCTCATCTGCTAGTCATATAATACTGAAAATTCGGGTGCACATTATCCGTCCTAAAAAGCACTACGGCATTGACGCCCCCGAAGGCGGGCTCGGTTTGCTTAGGCCTCGTCAACCAGGGTTCCAAGAACCGCGTGGCTGCCCTCAAGCTGTCGGTCTCGCGCTTGCCGCACACTGGCGACCAGGTACGTCATCCGCCATGGACCGTTTCGACACGGTGGATTCGAAGAGAATATGGGGCAGACCCCTCGGGCGCCCTTGTGGAGTTCATTCCGGTAGCGATGTCTCAACGGTGCATGCGTTACCGCTTGGCCGTGATCGACCTAAGCGCCTTCACAAGCGCGCCCACTCACATGCACGACACCATTCGACACAAACCCACAGCCCGCCCAGCGGCCGTCGGGGAATTCGAGACAGCCAACTACGGTGTGGCCACACGGGGCGTTGATGCGGTCTCTAAAGGAAGGCCGATGCGGCGAGCAGTAGGGTCCTGGATGATGGCACACAAGGGACCTCTGTCCTTGCCACGGGATGTCGAGCGCCTCGCCGCATCTTTTCCACCCCACAGCAAGCCGGAGCGCGAGGGGCGAAATGCGCACGGGAACTGGTGAGCGCCGCAGCCAAGGCGACACAACGGAGCTGCCGTCCCGGGGCTGATAATGTTGCCGCCGTCATTATCTCGTTTGTCATCTATGGATATTTTCGAAAACCCGCCTGTGACGATGGAGTGAAGCACACGCTCTGCCGGCCGGTTTGTCGTCTATTTCAATGTGATAGTGACCAAGGTGTGTACGACCTCCTGTGACACAGTAACGAGCAGCCCAACGCGTAACTAAAGAGCCAGCCCTTTTAAATCATAGGCCGGTTGCACATGATGGAAAAGCAACTAGGACGTGTGGATTTTCCTCTCCTAATTCCTACAACAAGTGCTGCTTCTTCATTGTGTGCCTCCTGGTCTGGTTCGACATCGGCTGTTATACGTAACCGGGTATAAGTACTGATTGCTGTTGCATGGTTGTAACGCTATTTGTAGCCGAGAAAGCTTGAAAAGACGTCGGGCGGCATCTACCACACTTGATGCATCAACACAATGCAATGTAAAACAGCTAGAGGGAGTTCCCGACGAACCCCTCACTGCAGGATATTTGCAAGAAGTCGGACAAGCTCCTGGTCATCCTTCTGATCCTCGGCCTCGAGACAATGGGACTGTGGTAGGTCATCCAGCCAGGCAGCGTGGTGATTGGTCGCGGAGCTAAGAGACCAGCAACCCACTCCAAAATGAGAATTGTAAGCTGCCGCTGCGCCTCCCTGGTCTCGGCATTCTTTGTGATCGACGCCCAGGCCATGCCGGGCCATCTCGTGTTCTTGACTGGCTGCCCTCTGTGGCATCACGGTGTTGGTATTACCTTTGCAAGCAAGTGATACACCAGATCAGTAAGATTGAGAAGAAGCCATGCTACGACGCAATCTGCAGAGACCCTCGAAGAGCACCTTGACATGGTCTTGGCTAAAGAATTTGAATGCCCTCCCCAAATTTTGCTGGGTGGATTTGCCCGGCGACATCAGTGTAAACGTATGCAAGGTGTTTCGGTTGTAAGACATAGCGACCAAACCCAGTTTTCCCTTCCACCTCTCGCTAGCAGAAAGACACTGAATCGCCCATCGTATTCCATTCGTCCCTGAATGCTCCCGCATCTCATCCCACGACGCGAAACCTTAGGCGGCACAACGTTGCCTAACCCTGAACGAAGGACCAAGTAACGCCGCAGGTAATAGTCCAATGACCCCGAACATCCGGAGAATGCCAACGCTATCCATCTAAAGATAACCTGGACGCCAACCCAAAATGTATTCCGACCGCAGGACCAGCTGTGTCGCCAACACATCGAGACACTCGCCCGACCATCTTGGCCAACCGCAAGTCGAGCCATTTCCTAACCCCTCTCCCCTGCCGAATGGACGCCAAAGACAGCCCACACTGCATAGGACTCTGAAACCGTCAAAGCATCTCGGCCCCTATTGCCCTTGAATCCCCTCGTTGTTCGCTGTCACATGATCAAATGGCTGTGGCCTGCGAGTAGTAATTGCTTGCCGGGTAAACCGGCCAGGGCGATTCCTGTAGATACGCCGGCGAGGATTGCTGCACACTGTGGCTGGGATAGCTATTGTTTGACGATGACCCTGATAAATGCGGCGCCATGTTCAGCATGCCGCGCTATCCAGCGCAAGAAGGGAGAGAGAGAGAGAGAGAACCCATACCTGCGTCAGCGTCTCGATACTCTGCCTTGACCGAGCCCAGACTGGGCGCTGAGCTAGTGCTCGCCATAGCTGCTGGCCCCTCTGCCAGAGGCACGCTCGTATGCACGTAGGCTGGCGTATGCGTGTAATCCTCCCCGGGCCCGGAAGCGCCTGGGCTGGACTCCACCGACTTCACGACAACGGCGGACGGGACCGGCACCACGCTGCTCGGCCAGTGGTCGTACGGGTTCGCTGCTCCTGCGAGATACGGTGACCCAAAGCTTTGCGGTACGTTGTAGTCACCCGCGTGCCTACACCGGGGCAGCTCATTCGCATCGTAACCTGTACGGCGGCGGGCACCTGAGTAAGCAACGGCGGAGCCATCTTCGCAAGCAAGCAGGGCAGGGCCGAAAGGACATACAAGAGGGAGGGAAAGATCGCCCTGTGCGTTGGGAGAGCGCCTTCTCCAAGAACCGCACCCTGTCCTCCAGTTCGTGGTTCCGCCGCACCAACTGATTCACCATATCGACCCGCTCCAGGTTTCTGAGGCACTCCACCTCGTGCTGCAGCTTCTCGATCAGCTCCTTGTTGCGCCGCCGGATATTTTGCTGCGCTATCCGGTCATTCTCCCGTTTCTTGTTCCGTTGCTCCTCCGACAGGTTGCTAACACGCCTCGCGCCTGACCACGGGTGACATCACAATTAGAAACTGGCTGGATCTTAGGGGGCGCCGGTCACGACAGTACCGGTGCCAAGGTGCGGCCGACTCACCTTTCCCTTTCCCCTTGGAGAGCTTATGCGACTCTACATGCGCAGGTTGCGGTGACATGTTCGGAACTGACTTGCGGTGTTGCTCTGTTGCAGGAGCCACAGGGGCTCTCTCGTGTAGTGGAGGCCTCGAAGCGCTTACGTGCTGACAGACGTAGGCAAGCGCGTACAGCAGTTTAAACGCACGGCGAGAATGAAGCGGTTGGGTTGACTATTGAGACACCACGTGCTAGGGAGGGCTTCCAGATTGATGGTATAGATATAATGACGAAGCCCGGTATTCACCTCGCGAGAGGCGACGGACCATTCCGGGAACGCCCTCTGCTCACCCACCTAATAAACCCTCAGCACACACCCAACCGGGACGTCAGCTAAGGGCTGGCCCCAAAGGTGGAGCACGCAGAATCTTGAAGGAGCAGAAGGCTGGTGGCCGTTGCGGCCTCCACACATCGTCTTCAGGGTGCATCCCAGACAAGCGATGCCGACCGCGCTTCTGGGCAGGCCACACCCGGAATGCCGGAAGGCGATCGATCACAGTCTAAGCCAAGGCGCGAGGCGAGTCAAGTGGAGGGGAGGAACACCGCGAAGCGATGATTGCCTTGTCGGATACAGTCGAACATCTTGACTCTCCCTGCTGCGCCGCTCCCTTTGTTATGTCTTCACTCCCCATACTCGGTCGGACATCAATCATTGCTGGATGTCATGCTCGGATTGGGCGGCAGTTGCGATGACATGCTGCGTTAGTGCGTAGATCGTGTGGGACCCCGTTGCCAAGGAGCAGAAAAAAGACGCCAGTGGGAGATCCATATCGCCGAGCAGATCCGGCCTCATGGAGAGCCCCGCCCTGGCTAGCAGTTGCGCGCTGAATGCCCCATTATCCACTGGCAAGCCGGAACGGCACCCTTCGACGGCGTGCTGGTGTTGATGTTTCCGGCACATCGACTCTAATCCAAGCATGTCGATCACTCTATCGAGAGGCAGCCTAGCTGTGGGTTACGGGGTGCCCTCTATTCTTCCCCTCAACCGGTGAGGTCTAGCAGTAGGTATCTTGAGCATTGCGTGATCCAAGACGTGTGGTATCCCACACACCGAAGTTCTGCCATGGAGACAGCATTCTGGGAAACGTCTCCAGTTTGAAGAAGCGTCTCCAGTTTTGAAACAGCACTTCTCCAGATGGGCAACGCCTCCGCCACGGTGCGGGGAGGGGATCCCGGCCCCGCCACCGTCAAGTGAGTGCGAAGACCCCGGAAATGTCCGATAGCAACGAAGAAGGGACTCGGTAAAGCTCGAACACGGCTAAAAATGGGACAACGAATTGGGCGGAATCGAAGGGAACTAAAGACAGTGAAGAAAAGAGCCAACCAACTGATGGATTGGCTGAAATTGGCCGGCCCGGTTGGATGTAAGAACCATGGAGCAGATACTCAATGGGTCTTCAGCTGAAGTGTTGAGATTCCTGGTTCACTGCTCGTTCCACAATAGCCTGTGCCGGCATTGAGCATACAATCCGACCCTGGTTTGTTTGTTAGCGTGGCACATGGCGGCCCAGTGAGAAAACGGAAGGGTAAATAAAAGAAGGGAAGAAAAGTCAGAAAACTAAAAACGGAAGGGAATATACAGGAGGAAAAGTGAGTAATAGAAAGAAGTATGAAAGGTCCAGAAAAATAAGAAAAAGAAAAAGGAAGAAAAAATAAAATGAAGAGGAAGAGAAGACGGCGAATACCACAGTTTGTCTTTGTTTCCTTCACAACATCCGCGCTAACAAACAAACCAGGGTCTAATTGTGCATACCTCTTCCGATATTCGAAACCAGGCATGCTCCTGACGCATGTGTTCTTCTAACACGTTGTCCCATCTCTCTGTATCCCGCGGGCGCTCACTTCCCATCCTGAAAATGCAACACCAATTGATGGATGCTTTGAGATGGCGTTGAAGGTCGTTTCCATTGCAAGTTGTCTCTTCCCGAGTCTGCCGAAGAGAATTTCGTATTACAGTTTGGCGACATCGAGACAGAGAAAAGCAGGAATGACGGGTTACTACCCCATGCTCCAGGATGCCCGAATGTCATCTTCGTAAGCAGGGGCAAAGATATTCGCAGGCGGGTGGCCCAATCTTCCAGCCGACTCGTACGGTTCGACCGAGGCACAATAGCCATCTTCCGAGCAGACGCCGAAGGAAGGTGGGCAGGGCCACAAAGCGCGTAGCAGAGGGGCTGCAACGTGGAATGGGAAGGTTAGCAATCAAGGAGCCACCAGGTGATCTGACATCGCTGTCGCACCGGAAACCGAAGCGTAAAGAAACCCCATGGAGTTGGGCGACAAAGCTGAGAAACAAAGCTGATGAGATTGACACTGACAGGGGAATAAACATGACCTACGAATTGGTGAGCACGTCTCTCAACGCGGGCGGGAAGCCTGTGTAGATGCCGAGCTGATCCTCAGTTCTTTGTGTCCCACCCATCGAGCATGACGACGCAGCACGAGCTTGAGCATTACCCACCGATAGCGACAGCGGGGAACGGGCCAGCTTGACCCGTCCGAACCTTACTCGATACTGCCGGCGACTCCAGCTGCGCCCACCAGATCCTCCATACTGCCAACCTGCGTGGGACCGCTAGTCCCCTCTGGCGGCAGGGCCCAGCGCGGCAAAGGGCTGACGTAGCTCCAGGCACCCTCGGCATCCTCGTACTGCAGACTGTGAAGCCAGAGAGAGAGCTCCTGATCTCCCGGGTCGGTATACAACGGGGTGCTGCAGACGGCACAGACTTCGCCCGACATCTTTTCCGCCTTCTTCTTGTAGTAGTCATCCACCATCTCGTCGTAGTATGCCACCGCATCCGCGACTTGGTCCTTGCCCATCCGGGAGAGGCGAGTGATGATGTCTTCGTCAGTGTTCTGCTTGGCCTCGGCGTCGTTGCAGCCAAGATCGAAGCCCCATACCTTTTGGTTGGCATAGATGGGATCATTTTGGATCGGATGGCCCAGGAACTGTAGGTGAACCCTCAACTGATGAGTTCTGCCCGTCACAGGCAGGCACCGGACGATGGAGTATCCCTCGTCTGTCTTGCGGTTACCGGCGGGTTGAGAGGATGATGTTCCGCCCCGCTCCGCAGCCTCCGCTTGGCCGGTCAGCTCATCGGCACTCCGACCCGCGTTCGAGCTCGAGCCGGAAGGGGGGGGGTAATAAGCCAGGCGCTTGAAGACGGTCCTAGCGGGCTTGCCATTGGCCCGCACCCTGTTCAGGCCGAGTTTGGGGGAGATTTGGAGAATCGGCTGATCGCACACGACCTCTCCGTCAGGGAACCTGCCAATGACGCGGGCGATGTACTCCTTGCGGACGCTTCGCTGGAAGATCTGGGCGCCCAACTGTTCGGCAGCCTTGGCATGCTTCGCGATGAACATGATACCGCTCGTGAGCCTGTCGAGCCTGTTGCAAGGCCGCGGGGAAAAGGCTGGACCCCTCTCTGCTTTCATAATTTCGACGACCGAGTTGTAGTTGTATCGCCCAGCCGGATGAACGGGCACGCCCGAGGGCTTATTGATGACGACCATGTCATCGTCTTCGTGGATGATGCCGATGGGTTCGGCCGTGACGGGCGGCTCGTGGCGATGCGTGGTATGAGATACAAGGTCGCCGTTTTTCAAGATGTGATTTGGACCGACTGTTTTGCCATTGACGGCGACCTGGCCAGACTCCATGGCGGCGCGATAGTACTCGAGAGGTCTATCGCGGAACTCGCTTTCGAAAACATCGACCAGCTTCCGGCCTCGCCATCGTTCTTTGCACCACGTGTTGTATGTGTAGAAGTAAGGCGAGACGCGGCGCAACCCGTCCTCGAAATAATACGGTCGCGGCCAAGGCTCCGAGGGTGCTGGTAGCGGGAGGGGAGGTTGAGTGTCCGAGGGGGCTAGACCATCTGCCGTGTGATTTCGCGACGTGGCCGACGCAGTGAGACGGCTAACGGATACCGCCATCGCGCGGCACGACGCCACAAGCGCTAAGATTGAACTGTGTGCAGCCAGCGTCAGCGAAGACCAACAAGCTAATCCGTCGTGTTCGCGAATTGCCAGACTGCAGGTCTAGGATAGAGTGTGGTACGCAGTACTGCCGAGCTCATTTCGGATTCTGTCTGGCGATCATGCTCTAGCGCAAAAATTGGGCGGTGAATCCGGGCAATAAATTGTTGGCTGTGTCCGGTTGCCAGGCTGGGCACACCTGACCGATGACAGCCGAGCCTCGGCTTCCCGAGGGCCATCTGGTGTCACGCTCAACCCCCAATACGTGGCATGCAAGAGGGACGACGTTCGCTTTTCGAGTTTCACCTCCCAATGCCACTCAAGTCATGTTCATTAGAGGGCTAGCTTGCTAAATTCATCTGATTTTTTCCAGCACCCATCGGCGCCTTGCTGAAGCCGGGCAAATGGCGGACCTCAACCATCTCAAACGCCGGACAAGGGCGGATTACCCCTACATTCTCGAGTACCGGACCCGATGGTAAGTCGGGTGAAACAAGGTCAATAGCAGAGTTGGAAACCTAATGAGCTAGGTCAGGACCGACAACGACATGTACGACCATATGAACAACTCCATTTACAATTTCCTCTACGACTCCGTCATCAACACGTATCTAATCGAGCACTGCGGTCTCCATCCCCCAACTTCACCACAGTACGGCATGGTTGTTCACTCCCACAACGACTATTTTGCCTCCATCTCGTTCCCCGCCTGTGCAGAGCTTGCTCTTCGCGTCAATCGCATTGGCAATTCGAGCGTCACCTACGAGATAGCTCTCTTCGAGAAAGGCCAGGATGCCGTCAGATCCGTGGGCGAGTTCGTCCAGGTCTTTGTGGACCGCGACACTGCGAGGCCAAGTGCTAAGGGCATGAATCACGAGCTGCGCCGAGGGCTGGAACGCATACTTGTTGCTCAGAACCGTCAAAGTAAGATTTAAACAGTGCTACTGAGAACTCCTGCTTGGTTACTCGCCGTGGGTTCCAAAGGTGGCCCGGTGAGCCAGTAAAGCAACGGACTCATTGAGTGAGGGCGGCCACAGTTGATTGGGAGTGCAAGGAATCAAGAATACTACTCCCAAACCCTCCATTTTCATGAGACCACTCATACAACCCTCCAACAACCGGATGTGCAAACAAACACCTTGGTGCGCTCTCCGCTATCATGGGGATAGTGTTAAAATGGAATCACTAGGATAGTCAGGACTTTAGACGAAAAAATCACATACAACACCAGGAATTCGCTGGTCGTCACCGACCCAACTACTAATCTGGCCCTTGGTAGCTTATCAAGGGGAGATCGAACGGGATCCCGAGTTTTCTACCAGGTATGATCGTATGTAATAGCTCTGGTTGGATCCTACAATTATGTACTTTCCGTAAATGACAGGCGACCCAGCCACAGTTCTGATCATTGCCAGGTTCACCGTCTCACGGGTGGTGACAGGCAATACTAGGTAATCTGGTAGTATTGCTAAGATCGCACAAGGAACCAGAACTCTGTGGGCTGTGCGCAGCCGTGGAAAATCCTGGGGCAAGGTGGGGCTGCGCACGAACCAAGAGTGGGTGAGCGCAAGACCCACTGTAGTGGGGCTCCCACTAGACTGACGGGTCCGTGTCGCTTAGATAAACACAACGATTATCTAAGCACCCAAAAATGCATCTAACGCGCCACCACCCCACGCGCGCAACACCCATGCGAAGCGCGGACGCGACCGCAGACACTATCGCCATGGCCGCCTTCCCAGACGACTGCCTCCCTCCCGAATCCTACTTCGAGTCGCGTGAGGCCTTATGCGAGTCAATCAACTCGTGGGCTAAGCCAAGAGGCTATGCTTTTACCACTCAAAGGTCAACAAAGGAGAAGAATGGTACTACGACAGTTATCTATGCATGCGATCGATCACGCAACCCTCCTGATAGCTTGCTGGAGCGTCAGAGAAGAACAACAACTCGAAAGACGAATTCGTGTTCTCGGAGGCTGAGAAGGGGAAGGAGTTCTACAAGTCTTGGCACTCGATCATCAACTCGCCTACCGAGAAAAAATATACCAAACGCCTTGGGAGCAACGCAAGTTACTCGCAAGGAGGGACCCCCCTCCATCTTCTACTTGTACAGGCACTTTCTCTCGAGTCTATGGGCTCCCATGCTTACACGTCTTAGTGTTGGAAGACCAACAGCCACGATTCCACGGTGATCACACAAATGATGGGAGCTTACAACAGTGGGTTTGAGATACTCGGAGCATCCCAGATGTTCTTGATTGAAGGTTGTTCTTCTCTCACGTCTCCAGCGAAGGGGGAATCGCCCTGACCTCGTTGCCCAGCGCCCGGGTTACCCCTCACGTTGCCTGACGCTCCGTTGGGCAGCCATGCATCCAACAGCAGGGCACTTGCAGCTGAGCGTCCGAAGTTCCAGTGCCACGACTTTCCAACACTTAGATGCTCGTCAAGGCGAGCCTCTTCTTCTCGACCACTTCCATTCGCACTGGCATCTAGTACCCAAGGGGGCTCCGCAGTTACTCCTTGAGCCTCGCCAGCGCATTGAGCCAATTCGAGCTTTAGAGCTCACTT